TACGTACATACCCAGGAAGAACTAGCTAACATCTTATTATTCGTGCCAAGGTAATACCTCTTTCAAAGCAGCCTGAGAATTATAGTTTATTTTTATGAACGAGAGAGCAATTAGCATAATTTTAACTGGTACCTCCGACCACTCCATGGGCGTGCTCAAGATTAATTGAAAAATTACTTTGAATAATTGTAAAAAATAAATGATTTATTTCAGTGTTATAAAGTGTTATGTGTATGTAAACAAAAGTGACCTCTTTTATCACACACTATATTAGAACTGACTGGCCTACATTAAAAAGGGTTTTAAAAAATTCACATTTTTTTAAATTTTTAAAAATTACAAAAGAGAAAAAGAGTTTTTAAAAGCGTCTAAGGTATGTTAAATAGATGAATAAAAATATTAATATAAAACTTACAGCTACTTGTTACAAATCCAAATCAGATTCAGAAGATGAACTTTCAGAACCAAGATTTATAATAACTGGCTCAATCATTTTATCAGTAATATTGTCCAGCTTCCACATTTTTTCCTCTTCTTTACTAGTGTGATTTACTGCCTTTTCCCAGTTTTCAAGTTTTACATTATTTACGGCCTCCAAAAACAACTGTTTAACATCATGAATTTTAAAAGTGGTATTTTTTCTTGAAACTTCACTCTTTATCTGTGCCCATACCAGTTCAATCGAGTTTAATAATTCACAATGATATGGTGGGGATCTAAGTACTGTCATTCCACGATTTTTGGCAATTTCATCAATTTCGTATTTTTAAAATTTTTTTTTATAAAGGGCACACAACGAATAAAGTTCCAGTCTTATAGATCCGGGATGGTACGTAATATTTTTTGAACTCAGCCAATTCTGCAAGTCTTTTTTTAACCACCTGGTTGTGCGCAGTCCTTCTATAAGTCTGGAGTGATAACTTGCATTATCCATTACTATTACACAGTTCTTAGGAAGAAGATCTATCATTTGTTCGAACTATTCTTGAAAGACATCAGCGTTCATGTCTTCATGGTAGTCACCGGTACGAGTTGATTCATAAGTTAATAAACCACCTTCAACAAAACCGTCTGAACTGCCAATGTGTACTATTATCAGCCTGCGTCCCTTTCCTGATGGTGGGTTTAAACCAGTAGATAAGTTATTTACAAAGCGTGCGACTTGTAACAGTTTCATCCTGCCAAAATTTATTTAGTGTATGACCCTCGTTGATCCATGTTTCATCAAGATAAAATATTTTTCTTTTTTGGTTTCTCATTTCCTTTATGGTTCTTAGAAAATGTCTTCTCCATATGACAATATCGCTTCTTTCTAATAAAATAGACTTTCTGGGATTCTTTTTCCAGCGGAAGCCTATTTCTTTTAAAAGTTTCCATAACGTACTTCGACTCATTTCTGGGTAATCCTTATCATCTCGAACTGAGACAAGAACTTTATCCAATGTTGGAAATTCTTGTCTAAAGAAGAATTCATGCACTTTCCGTCAAAGTCCTTCTTTAAAATGATATTCTATTTGAAATTTTGGTTTCCCTGGAGCATTACGTGGCATTTAAAAACTACCACATTTCTCTTCTTTAATAACTCTGTAAATCGTAGATTTCCCAACACCAAGTGTACTGCTAACTAACTCAACGGTCTCATCAACACTTTCACATAAACGTTTGTCTGTAAATGATTTAAAACAATTAAATATTAATGTTTTTTCATTAACTGTTAAAGGACCAATTTTTCGGCGTTTACACGGCACTTCCAAATTTTCCATAACACTAGTATACACAATAAACTGCACCTTGCAACTGAAGTACCTACTTTTAGTGAACTGTTAAGAATTTTGAATACGCCACTTGGACCTTCCTACAAAATGGAAAAACCCACTATTACATTTTCTGTGGAATAAGTTTAGAAGGTAATTATCTAGTCAATTACTGTCGTAGATTCCTGGAATAAAAGAATTAAATGTTTGATTGTTGAAACCCTTACTTCGTGGAATGCACTCATTTCAGATAAAATAAAACGTTTTATTTTATCTAAAGAATTAAACTTTATTTTGCAAATAGGTAGGTACTTATTAAACTTTTATTGGTTATATATAACCAATAAAATAAACATCTTACATTTCTTGCAAATTCATTAGTACCTGTTAACCTCCATCACTCCGACACTGGCAACCTTATTTAGGGATTAGTAACCCTCACAACTATTGTATACTATTCTGCTCCAACCTTTATACCTGGTGGTCATACTCAATTTAAAATTGTTTTCCTATATACTTCTGTAAACTTGTTGACAAATATCTGTTTTTCATTGAGTCACCCGTATCAACAGTTTAGGGATTTGCATACATAATTTATTGTTTTATTACTCTCTCATACATAAAAATACACTATAAGATGGTATAATCTCTTTTCACGTTACACCGCCTTTCGATGTGGCCAATCTTGATATCGAATGCGAAGATGGTGTATTAATACCATCACTAGCTAGCACTAATAGCTAGCACTAATACTGGAAGAAAATTTGAATGAATTTGAAAGAACATTACTGCATAGTCCAGTAACTAATTATGAGACAATAAATAATACGGATGGAGAGATAATTCGAGAACAGAACTTGATCAAATTTTTGTCAGAAACTAATGATACAACAGAAGAGATTTTGCATGAAGAAGAGACCGCCGAACCAATTGTCAAAAAGGACGCAAATGCAGACATGTTGACAAAAATGATTGGAAACGAGAGGAGAATAAAAGGAAGAGAGAGTTGGGCTCCGAATTTTTTGGGAGGAAGAAAGAAGGTAATAAATGGACATATGACTTGAAGAGACCCAGAAAGTCCTTGGCAAAGACATGTAATTGCAAGTTTGACCCAAACACTTCCAAGTTAAAATGTCGTGCCTTTTCTGAAGAGCACCGTAATAACATTTTTGATTCATTTTGGAAAAAAACTTGGGATAAAAATATGTTAACCGTTAATCTACTAACCTAACGAGTAAACACTTCGAGGGCTAGAAATAGAAAGAATGAGGAGACATCTCAAAGAGCATGTTCTTATAATTATTATCTTGAAAAGAATGGATTAAAATTAAGAGTTTGCAAAAAACTATTTTCAAACACATTAGGCTTGAACCCTTGGACAATACATAATTGATTAAAAGCTTACCACATAAGTACAAAAAATAATGAGGATATCAAAAAAACAATTAATGAAAACACGACAGGATTGGAAAAAACAAGAAAATGTTCTCAGCGACAATACTTCCAAGATTTTTTTAAATCGCTTGCAAAAGTTGAATCCCATTATTGCAGAAGTTCATCCTCAAAACAGTATCTTGAACCAATTCGGAAATCTAAATCAGAATTGTACACATTGTATAAAGAAACATGGTGTTCTAAATTTAATGAATCTCCAATGTCAATAGCTTACTTTTGTCATATGTTTGAAGATTTGAATCTTAGTCTGTTTTAAACCAAAAAAAGACGAGTGCGACGTCTGAATTTCACTTAAAAGTAAAAACATTACCGAAGAAGAGTATCACCAACATATACAAAAGAAAGATGAAGCGAGGCATGAGAAGGAATTGGATAAGCAATCTAATAATAGCGTCTTTACGATGGACTTGCAGTCGGTGCTTCTATGCCCTAAATCAAATGCTGGTTCACTTTACTTTAAAACCAAACTTATTGTGCATAATTTTACCGTGTATGATTTGAAGACGAAAGCTGATTACTGTAACATCTGGCATAAAGGCGAGGGAGGATTAAGTGCACAATCATTTGCTTCTATAATTAGCACTTTTATAATAAATCATCTTGCAGGAACAGAAAATAATGGTGAAGACGACAATAACTGCTTAATTTTTTGGAGCGACGGATGTGGCTGCCAAAATAGGAATGCAACCATTGCAAATGCCTTAATTAATTTAGCTGTACTTAGGAAAATTACAATAATTCAGAAGTACCTCGAACGAGGTCATACTCAAATGGAATGCGATTCTATGCATTCCGTTATTGAGCGCAAGTTACGAAATAGAAACATAAATGTACCGGCAGATTATGTTGATGTTTGTAGAAACAGCTAGACTACATCCCAAGAATTATAACGTAGAGTACCTTACAAATAGCTTTTTCAAAAATTTTGATCAGGTACATTTTGTCAATTCAATTAGACCTGGGCGCAAAGCTGGAGACCCAAGAGTTAATGATGTCCGGGCTTATAGGTACAATTCAAACGGTACCATAGATTTTAAACTGCGACATGTTGCCGACTGGAAAGCTCTTCCATCAAGATATAACAAAGTTAAAGCTACTGAACTGCAAGAACTTCCTCGTCTATATAGCGCTCCTTTAAAAATCAAAAGAGAGAAATTCGACCACTTAATGTCTTTAAAAAATATTTTACCCAAAGACTACCACCATTTTTACGATCAGTTGCCACATGAATAATACGAAAATAAATATTAAGTACACGAAATTTTAATTTGTTCAAAAAATCTTTTTTAAGTAAAAAAGTTATCAATAAAATGTAATAATTGTTTAAACTATGTATTTTTATTAAGTCACACAAGTCCAACAAAAATAAGAATAAGCGTAGAAAAATCAATAAGTTCATTTATATAATTATCATTAACTGATATTATGTTTTAGACAAATATATACCTACTAATATCTAACCTGTAGTAGATTTATCATCGATATTTAGAACAGAAACTTACAGTATTTTTTAATTTAATTAATTTAATGTGTCTCCTGAAAAGTTTTGCTTTTGTGACTTATGTGATTTGCTAATTAGGCCGACGATATGTATATTATATATTACGGTATACCTCAAGGTTCCTGCACGAATCTCGATTTTTCTAAATAGGATTTCAGGAAGTGTTAAAACGTCATACCGAACGATAAGAATTATCACTTCAAAAGGCATTTTACCTATATTCCGAGCTTTAATCATGATATTCCATTTTGAAATAAATTTGTTATATAAAAAATTGTTTTTATTTTAAGGTTTTCCTACGATAACAACAACTGAGTCTATAGATCGCAAAAATTATTTTTATAAGGAAGTGGGGGATATAGACGACGATATGTCTATTGCATTCTCAGTAAAAGCAGAATATGAAAGTCATATTTTTTTATGTAATTCATCAATAACGTCAACTTGTTACTGGATAATGCTAGGAGGAAGCAGTGGAACAGTGTCCGCTATTCGAAAATGCTCAACAGATGAAATTCCTGTAAAATTGAAAAATTATTCTAAAGGTTCCTGTAAAATAAATCGTGATAAAAAGGAGGTAAAGAAATATTTGTTATTTTTCTTCAATATTTTTGACTGCTATGCGTGTATTTTGGATCATTTCAAATTAACTAAAAATCAAACTTTAAAAAAGATAAACCTATGTTTCTTCTTATTTTTGTACAGAACTAATGGATATTTCAAATATATTCAAGTACTATTTATTGCTTAGTTTTTATCTATAATGACATAATTTTAGGTTATGTATAATTTTTTGGGCATCTCGCAATTGCGGGCACTCTTACCTAACCAAGCATTTATATGACATTTAACGTTCGCTTAAATGGTGTCAGAGTTGCCAAGTCTCCAGTTTTTTCATACTCTCACATAATATTATACAAATGTTGATTAAAGTGATATATAAAAAATTAATACTATAGATTTTAGTTAAATTAAAGATAATAATCAAATGCATATACAATACAACTGATTAAAATGATATAAAAAATTTATAGTAATAATTAAATTACCGTATATAATAGAAATGCATTGAAATTATATAAAAATTCATAGATTTTAGTTGAATTAAAGATAATAAACAAATGCATATACAATAAGATTGATTAAAAGGATATAAAAAATTAATAGTATCTATTAATCAAATTACAATATATAAGAGAAATGCATTGTAATTATATAAAAATTCATAGATTTTACAATATTGCATTTAAAGTAACAGAAAATATTTGTTTTATACTTATTTAAATCTTGTAACTTCTCATAATACAAATTATAATTTCGTAAAAGTAACTTATATTTTAAACCTTCATATACATTTTACAAAAAAAATACGGCAAGTTTTATACTTATTTAAAATTTGTAGCTTCTCATAACACAAATGATTATTTCGTAAAAGTAAATTTATATTTGTAGCATTCATATACATATTTTACTAAAACAAATACGGCAACACTGTGACGCAGTGCCTTGAGGAAAATATATTTGGTTAGGTTAGAGTGCCCGCAATTGCGAGATGCCCAATTTTTTTAATAATTATGTAACATAAAAAATAAGGCTTAAACCAATCTTACGAACGCACTATACAGTGTACATAACCTAAAAATGCATTTTTTTGTGAGCTCATAACACTTTTTGGAGATGACTCAATTTTAATTAAAAATTAAAAAAAAATCAGATGGTTTTGTATTATTAAAATACGCTTTCATGATTTTTTTCAGATTTTTTGCAGCAATACAGCGTCTAAAAAAATTACAGACGTAAATTAGTTACGTCTAAATTAGACGTAACTAATTTACAGCGTAAATTAGTTACGTCTTTTCGAATGACCAGCCCCAAAACTGAATCGAGCATCGTGCAATTTTGACCATCTTATCCCGCTATAGCCTTTCATTTTAATGTAGTTCTTAATATGACCGGAAATTGACATCAACAAAACATGGGCGTTACGTTTAGCTTTTGAGAGTTGTATCTATAGTATATTTGAAAAATAAGCTGGAGTAAATTCTCAGAATACTAATCTTCAAACCTCGAAATACATAGGCATGCACATCTTCTAACTAAAACGTAATCTTAAAAAAAAGTTTGCGTTAAATTTATTTGGATATTTAGAACAAAGAAATTAATCCAATCCAATACTGGTTTAAAATAAAAAGATACACATAAATAAAATTAAAATTCTATTAATTGTTAAACATACAGTTGATATTAAATAATCAAATACAATCAATTATACTGAAACATAAAGTACATACACAAAAACTAAGTTTTTATACATTCTTATTAATAATTAATAATATTCTTAATACTAATAATACTGAAAATCAGAATGAAAATCATATTAGGAATAAAAAAAAATAAATAAAAAATAAACAATGAAGTTAACGGTAATTAGTTCAAACGTAAAATAAGGTTCTGAGCTACAATTTAAAGTAAGGCTTCTCCATATTCTGTTTCAGACGAATTTTATTCGATCCGGGATAAATTATTATAGGTTCTATACTGCTATCTATTTTATGATTAAGCTCTCATATATATTTTTTTCAATATTCATAACGTGATTAATACATTTTTGCCAATGTTCAGTCGTTACTTCGGATATTGATTTATGAAAAAGATTAGTAACATCTGACAATTTAAAACTTGTATTATTTCAAGCAACGTTACCTTTAACTTCGGTCCATACAAATCCAATTGGATTTAGCTCGCAATAATACGGTGGTAGGCGAAGTATTTCAATTCCTCGTTTTTTGGCTATCTCCTTAATGTTATAATTTTGTTTAATAATTTTAGCAAGCTCTAATAATTCTGCTTTTGTCATTGTTTCGTCAAAGATTAAATTCTTAGAAGTTAACCACAATGCAATTTCATCTTTCCTGCATTGAGTAGTTGGTAAACGTTTAACTAATCTAGCGTGGTAACTTGCATTGTCCATCACAATAACTGAATTTTTAGGTATGAATTTAATTATCTGTTTGAAATATTCTTCAAAGTCGTCTGCGTTCATCTCTTTGTGATAATCACAGGTATTCTTTGATTCAAACAAAAGTAAACCCTCCTTAAGAAATCCATTCATACTACCTATATGGGTAACAATTATTCGTCAACCTTTACCTGTTGGTTCCTTAAACTAGTTGAGTATGCTTCCAGAAATGCTTGTCGACATGTTTTTATAGTTTTGTCATTCCAAACTCTCCCTACAGTATGCCCTTCATTAACTCATGTTTCGTCTAAATAATAAATGTTCTTATTTTCTATCCTCATTTTTTGTAATTTTCTGAAGTAGTTTTGTCTCCAACACACAATTTCTTCGGAATCCATAAGCATTTACTGTCTGCTAACTTCTTCATACTTTTAAAGTTTAACCCATGCAAATTTTCCAAAGTTTGTCTCTACTTATTTTGGGTAAATCGGGATCATCGGTAATGGCTTGTAAAATTGTATCTAAAGTTTGTATTTGTTTCTTAAAAAAAAAAGAGTGGACTATTCTACGAATTGCATTTTTAAAAAATTCGTCCACATTCACTTTCGACAATTTTGGCCTCCCTTTTTCGGTTTGGGTGGGGTTATACCAGCTGATTTTTCCTCTTTTAAAATATTATACACAGTTGATTTTGAATATCCCATTACTTTAGACTTAAGAAATTTCAACTATACTATCAACAGTATTGGAACGATTGTGTTGCTTAAAATAATTGTAAACATTGAGAATAACACTCTTTTCGTTAAGTGATAAATGATTAAACTTTAATTTTTTAACTGGTGTATAATCACACGTTAATTCCATATTCTATAAACTTACTATTCACTCTTGCAAAAAATAACTGTGTCAGATCTCTTCACTCGCTTATAATCGACTGAACAAAAATATTCTGATATTAATGAATGACTATTTAAAGACAATTAAACATTTTATTAATCATTGGTTTTCCAAAAAAATTAAAATTTATACTATTTAAAATAGCGTTGACATTTATCGGAAACCATCTTTCGCTAATCGACTTTTTCTATCTACACTATTAAAGGACCTTTAACTAAATACTTATTTATTTTAAGAGTTTATTAATTTTTTGTTATTTAATGGGTCATTATCATAACAACAAAAATAACCATAAATAAGGTTACTAAAATAAACAGATTTATATAAATATAATATGCTTTGAAAATAGTTTAAATATCTAATAAACCAAAACAAATAATATAATTCCCTTAAAGTACGTCTATGATCAGCTGAATAACCACTAGCCTACTGTTCTAATAATAGCAGGTATCTAAATTTTATGATAGTCCATGTGACATGAAAAATTTTCTATCTAAATAGTCAAACCCAACGTAAAATAAGTTAAAAATATTGACGTTGTACGAAAAGCACACGTATTAAAATATGTTTAACTAACAATTTAGTTTTTTTTCTGAGAATTTACTTCAGCTTATTTTTCAAATATACTATAACAAATTTTATATTCCCTATTTAAAATTGAAGGGTTGGGGTACTGGAAATGAGGAGTTGACAATTGACGTTTGGAATCAGACTCTACCAATTTTAGCATTTTCACAGAATTAAATGAATATTGCCAAATATCAGGGTCGACTCTTTTAAGTGGTCAACCATGTATATACATACTACTAATCTAAAAATATTTTAGGGCAATCCTTTAGACGTGAATACTTGGAAACATTTTGTTATCCAGAAATTTAAACATGTATTGAAATTACTTATATACAGCGGTGAAAAATATGGTTTAGAGACTTACCTGGAGCTGAATGATGAGTATTTTATAATACCAAAAAAACTATTTGTTCATAACAAACACCCTTTACCAAGTTCAAATTATCAAGCCCTTTGGAAATTTCACAAATGTAAGTTATTTATTTATTCACTCTTTTTTTATCATTATGATTTTTTTACTAGTTTTTTTTTTCGTTTTTATCAGCAGATCACAAAAATATACAAGACTTTAACTTCAAAGCTTATTTATTTTGGCTTATGCTAGAAAAACATTTTAAACATCTGTTTAGTGCTCTGCTATATATATATATATATATATATATATATATATATTATATTATATATATATATATATATATATATATATATATATATATATATATATACTTCATGTATTTGTTCTAGCGATTCTTTCTAGAACAGAAGAGAAATATGATGAAATTTGAATTTTATCTACTTTGTCGATGACATTGTCGTTAACAAAAAGATATTTTTAAACAGCATAAATCATTTTTCAATGATTGTTTGGATTTAAGAAATACATTATTAAAATAATTTTTAAAGTGTGCATAAAGGAGATTACAATTATCATGACACACAGTACTTCTGATTTTTCAAATAGTATGTTCTTGTAAAGGCATATCTTTAATTATTTGGTAAACCTACATTATACGATATGTCAGAAGAAATTAAAAAAAAAACGGGTCCAGTGGGACTGCCGGTAGAAGTTGTACTTCTATACACGCGTTCTTCGTTAGACATTTATACGGGAGTCAATCTGCACAATCATTACATATGTAATAGGCAAGAGATAGCAGAAAGAGAAACAGAATTATGTATAGAGGTATATGGTGCATCGTTTGCTGTAAATAAACAACATTTGACCTGTAATAGGAGTATAGTAAATAAAGAATTGAATCAGTATTGTGATGAAAATGTATTATTTATTTTTATTTATCTATGAAACAAAAGGAATGCAAAAAAAATACAAATACTCTGCTGTAAAATTCATTGTTTATTTTGATATTTTTATAAAAATAAAATACAAATTAAAATGCAATATTCATAAGTATTTAAAAATAACGATATACATAATTTACTTACGCATATGTTTAATTTACCATGATAATAATATACATAAAAAATAATAACAATATTAATAAATATTAAATATATTTACAAAAGGAATTTTTTTATTTTCAATAGAAAAAGAGAGAAAAAATATATCTTCTGTCTCTCTCTTACCTATATCTTACATATATAATGATTTTGCCGATTCACTCCCGTACAAATTTCCAACGTCGAACGCGCGTATAGAACTATAAAATTAACATGTAATACATTCCCTGTTTAAATAAATATTTCGTATTCGTACTATTGCAATATTGCAATTGCAATTCGTACAATTGTCGGTCAGATAGCTCAGCGGGCTGTGCGGCTGCCTCTCATTCGCTTCACTGTCGAATGGTTTAGTGGATGTGGGATCGAGCCCAAGCTCGGTGTACAGAAAACAAAAAGTCTAACGCAGCAGTTTAAAATTCTTGATGAATCTGCGGCTTAGACTAGGATATGCTGGGATCTGATCGGCCTATGGTGGAGCAGTACGGCAAGAGATAAGGGCTTGCGGCTTGGTGATACTCCTCCATAGATCCCTACCGGACAGGCGTAACGCCTAAAAAACCGGATATATATATATATATATATACATATATATATATATATATATATATATATATTTATATACATATATATATATATACATATATATATATATATATATATATATATATATATATATACATATATATATATATATATATTATATATATATATATATATATATATATATACTATTGCAATAAAATATTAAAACCAATAAACGATAAATTGTTGATCAGTGCTGATTGAAACAATAAGCAGTACAATGTTATTTATAAAGGTAGTGTAAATTATATCACCGATTTTCTGGTCCTCTAGTAATAAAGTTACCAGCATTTAATTGCAAAGCAGTCTTCTTAGGTGGAAAATATAATTTTTGTGTTTCTTTGTTGCTTTTTTTGTGATTTCATTTTTGTGATTTTATTTATGATTGACATCATTACCCTAACCACGGTTTTGCCTACTGTACTGTGTAAATTTTCCAACTTTTAAAAAATATTTAGATTGTGAATATGATAACAAACTAGTATACCATAAAAGTTTGTATGCACCTTGAGCATTATTTGTGTATACCCTCGGGCGAATTACAAACCCATGGGACAGGGTATTGGTAAGATAGTCACCCTCAGGCATAAACATCTACTTAATGCTCTTGGTACATAAATGAATCTTATTTATTTTCAGACTATAGTTTCGAAACCAAAGGTCAAGGTCTAATTTCCAGTCCGGCCTTTCAGCCTCAAAACGAAAATATTTGTGTATCAATGTTTGTGAAAACTTCTTCTCGAGGAACGTTAGACATAAATGTTAAAACAAGGTCAATATTCGAAATGGAAATAAATAACATTAATACTAATGTAAGTAAGAAATTATTTTTCTACTCTAGTATTTTATAATTAGGTTGACATGTTTAAATCCTCTGTAAGCGGTAGAAAAAAATGTTTAAAGAAATATAGCAGAGATAATTTTGAACAAAAATGTTTATTAGCAGTTTTTTTATAGAATGAACCGTTCTCGCAGAAACAAAGCTTAAACTGACCGACGATTTTGAACGTCAGCATGAAATCAATTTTTTAAATAAAATTTGCATTAACTTGACGGTGAAAATTCGATAAATTTTGATCAGAGTGTCTTATGGACAAAATCAAAAGGCGTTTTTTAAACATTTTTTGCATTTTGATACAAATGAAGTCAGTTTTTACAACCTACCAGGTTAATAAGATTTTTGACGTGACACTTAAAAAACCAGGGTAGTGAAAGGTTTTTTTGATATATAATACTTTTGATATACTAATACAAAAACAAGAGCGACTAAGATGCTAGCAAATTGGCAACAGTGTTAGAGTACCATTATAAAATTTTATTGAACAGTAGCGTCGATATCTAATTTTAAATTAAATAGAAGTTTTTATTTTGCAAACATTTGATTTTAAACGTAAATAGAACAGTCTCGTATCTTCAAATTATGTGGGTATCAGTAAATATTTTATTTTACCAAAAAGGTAAAAATAAGGACATTTAAAGGGTAGACCTAGAATGATGGGTAGACCCAGAAACAGGTGTCAGGGAGTGGTAAGAGACTCAAATTAAACCGAAACGCAACCTTCTTCGTATATTTATCGTCCTTACTCGACGCAATGAGTACAGTAATGATGGTAATTTATATGGATAAATTGTTGGTGCATAGTGAAATATAATTATTCTCGGCATTGCCCTGATTGGCTTGACTAAGCTTGGGTATACAGTTTACTTTAATTGCTAACGACGTATTTAACTTCACAAGTTATATACTAATGGACTAAGAAATGAGCCCTGTGGTAACCCTTTGCTAACTATCCATGGGACAATCAGTAAATTATTTAAACGAATATGGACTTGTCTATTTGTACATAGATTGACTAGGACATAAGCATAAGTCGTTGTTATGGACAATGCGTCATACCACAGTCGACGGTTGGAGCCGTCACCAACGACTGCCTGGCGAAAAGGTGAAATAATCAACTGGCTTTCCTAAAAAAATATACCATTCGATGACAACATGTTAAAAGTACAATTATTAAACTTCGCGAGGATACATATACCCGTTTTCAAGAAATATGCATATAAAATAATGGCGATAAAATGTCTCCTGTAAACAACATAATTGTACATCGCCTCCCTCCTTATCATTGTGAGCTGAACAATATCGAGTTTTTATTAGCTTGTTAGCTACCGCCATGCAAAATGTCACCCCCGAGTCTAGAAAAAATTGTATAAGACACACTATAAAAGAAAAAGATATAATGTATGACTTAGACACAAGACTGGACATTTCGGTTCAACCATTAATTATCAATGTAAATAATAGTGATCGCAATAGCTCTTCATCAGCCGACGAGTCGTCTTCATACAATAATTAATATTTTGACTTCCTGTGGAGGTCGAACCATTTTATCAAGATTACTTCGTATGTAAGTTTATTTTGTTAACCTAGTTTTCAAACTAAATACGTTTTGCACCAATAGATTTTGCTCTTAAAAAAATTTCTACTTCTTATATACATATATTAGGTATATTCGATTCGATTTATTTATTTAATTATAATATATATGTGTGTGAGTGAATATATGTTCACTAAAAGTAAAAGTTCACTTCATGTAATTTGCAAGTTCAAAATTGGATTTTCCTAATGATGTAAATTAGTATATTTAAAATATAATTAATTCCAATGGAAAGAAACCTTTCATTGAAATAACAGCAGGGTAAATCTCTCTACCTGCCTTTTCGATAATTAATTTTTGTAACAAACAAAAAATGTCATTAAAAAAAGTTATAGTTTGTGATTAAATGTCATAGAAAATTTGTTTGTCTCGTATGTTTTGTACAAAATTATGGAATTTAAAAGTAGTTTTTTGAGAAGTGTTTTTTTTTGTGATAAGAAGTATTTACTTCAAAAGTTAAATATGTCTCATATCATATTATATTAGGATTAATTTTTAAAATTCACTGTAACAGTGTGAACGATACGCTACTGAATGGTAAGCTAGGAAATCAATGAGCAATTTATTTCTCTCTATATTATGACAACGTTGATCTTACTATTCCTTTCTACCGGTCCTAGAATACGATGTCATGTATAACTTTTACAAAGAAATTGCTAGAATATCTATCAATTCAAACTGGCAACGATCTTGTCGTTTTATCGCATTCACAGTTCGGAGAATTGACTGCCTACAAATTTGATTCCTCAGTATAACTAAAGCAATTTTCTCTAAAATTATTTTATTTTTAGAATACATGGAAGGAGATTAAGATGTTTACTAAAGACTATAACAATAAGAAAGACGACATGTATAATGTAAATTTTAGATTTACTACTGCCAATCAAGAAGATGGCAGTTGTGCAATTGATGGCATTAGAGAATGCAATGAAATAGGTATGATTTAGCTCATAATAAGTAAACATCAAATAGAAGTTTAATCACATTGTAATTTACCTACATTTTTATCAGTTATTTTGGGGTAGTGTAACCCATTTGGTAATTTTTTTCATTTCTTAACATTTTAAATTAAATTAATTTTTAACTGCTACTTACATATTTCGTTTTCTACTATTCTTTTTCGGGTACTTTTTTTGTATCTAAAAATTAAATTACATCTTTTAAAAAATTATGGATGTAAAATGTAAAAAGTATTGTAGTCGACGGCTTAAAAGCAAACATAGAGCGATTTAAAGTTTTAAATTTTGAAAAAATAATTCATAAAAAAATATTTTCCATCGACCGTCCATTTATGATCAATTTTAACACCCTCAAAATTATTGATTAATGACCCATATTAATAAATGATTTTCTATTAATGACCGATTTCATTATAGGCAACACAACATAAATTGCTTGCATAAATTAATTAAACGCTCTGTGCTTGGCAGTGACCTGTGGTGTAGGCAACCAAACATATACCTATTTATATTCCTACTAAAAAAATTTAAATGAAGTAGCCGCTGTTAGTACTATCTGTCATTGTGTATGTCATTATTTACTTTATTGTTTCAAATTCTGTGTATTTGAAAAATCAAAAGATGGATATTGATGAAGAGTTTAATTTAACTCCACCAGAAGTGACAGAAACTGCAAAAGAAATATCTTTAAGTTTACTGCCTGGAAAAAGCAGAGTGTTGTACGAAAAAACATACGCTGAATTTATTGCATGGTGTGACGAGAGAAAAATAATACGATATTCATTAATTGTATTGTTAACATATTTTTCAAAACTTGCAAAAAAAGACCTAATAGCAAGTTTGTATCCCAAATATTCAATGCTAAAATCAACCTTAAGTTTAAAATCAAACATTGATATATCTAAATATAATAAGTTAATTATGTTTATCAAGAAAAAATGTAACAGGTTATGTACAAAAAAAATCAAAAACACTTCAAAAGTGAAAGAGAACAAAAAGAACAAGTCCAAAAATTCATCTCTGATGCTCCTAACGACGTGTTTCTAATGATAAAGGTAAACCAGTCAATTAAGTCTATATATTTAATACTCGTATTTCATAACATTACATTTTGTAGGCTGCATTAATTTTCGAAGTGGCTGGTGCGTTAAGAAAAAACGAAATATTGAAATTAGAAACAAATAACGTTCAAGACTAGTGTCAAACTTTCTTATCACAATAAAAGTATCAAAAACACACACAATAGAATATATACCATAGTAGATAAAGAAGCAAATACCACTTTCAATGTGATTAAAAACTATATTTCTTTAAGACCGGCACACACACAGCACATAAACGATTTTTCATTTTTTATAAAAATAACAAATGTTCCACACAAACAGTTGGCATAAATACGTTTTCCAAAATTCCTTTCGGAAAGCTACGCTATGTACGCTACGTTCGCTATGTTCGCTACGTTCGCTATGTTTGCTATGTTGGGTGGCCAGACCAAACGCTACGTTTCTTTATTACGAAAATATTTCAGTCTGGCTTTTCATTTATTAAGATCATGTTGGTGGATAGTGTACCCTGGCAAAGCAGGGATGGTTCTTCCGACGAAGATGATGTACTGTTGTTTTAGCATTATGTAATAAGAAGAAACGTAAAAGAAATTGGGTTCATAACGTCAACTTAAAAAGGAAAGAATGTGGTGAATATAATCATCTAATGAAACAGTTGCGTGATGACGAAATTAAGTTTAAAGAATATTTTCGAATGACTTAAACCCAGTTTGACAATATTTTGACAATTATCAAAGACGACATCGAAAAGAAGAACCTTAACTATAGGGACAGTATACCACCAGAAGAACGATTAGCTCTTTGCTTGAGGTAAGTAAAACATGCTGTTTATAAAAACGATATATTTTTTGACTTGTTAATGAGGTACAAAAGTTAATGAAAATCAAATAATATTAATATTAATCACTGTTTACACGAAAAGTTATTTTCTCCTTCTGCCGTTAAATCATAATTAGCATCATAATCGTAATGCTGATTATTGTAGTTTTTCTTCCGTCTCGTATGAATTGTAGGTAAGTGATGAAGCAGCCCTTGACGGTGGTGCACTGATGTTAGTGGCTGACGATGGTGCAGAGACAGATGCCGGAGTAAAGCTCAGGGACTCCGTTTCAGCATTTAAAATTGTGTTCATCACTTCTCGCTTTACCCTCAACTGTTAATGTCGAGGCAGACCCTTCGCACTTTCACAGGCACTAGCAAAGAAGTAATCAAGTTCACCTAATAACTTTTTGCTTTCTTGTTTTCTCTCGTTCATAAACGATATCACTTTATTAACATCCTGTTCATTTTCTTTAACTAGCTTCCTGTTTCGCTTACGAAAGATTCTGCTACGTCCCTCTTGCTCATTTTCAGCCTTGTCTTCACCACCATCTGTCTCTTCTTTTTCGTTTTCTTCATTGCCGCCACCCGTCGCGTTCAGTTCAACGAAGTCCTCATCATCCTCCTTATCACCCTCGTTCTGCACTGTTGCAACATTCGAATCTGTTCTGTAAAGGATAATACAATAATCATATCTCCTTTATTCCCCTCTTCACTGTTTATTACTTACCTTCGTGGAATGGTATCCGCCAGCAAGAAGGACATCTGCAATTCATACTTCCAGACTTTCATTTTCTTTGCAGCTTGTCCACTTTTAGTTTTTCTTCTTAACATAGCCTGCCTGTAACTATCTTGTAGCTTTTTTTTATCAATTTATAACAATTATTAACAAATACATTAAATTAAATTTTAGTCCTTTTTTCAAGGTACCTCGCAACAGGAAATTCGTTCCGATCAATGGCATTTACTTATCGTATGGGTAGATCTACAGTCAGTAAGATTATTGAAGAGGTTTGTGAAGCGATTTGGAAAAACATCCAACCTATAGTTATGCCTGAGCCAAATGAAGAGATTTGGAGAGCATCCGAAAACGTTTTCAGAGAAAGATGAAACTTTCCTCACTGTGTTGCTTCACTTGATGGCAAACATGTTAGATCTAAGGCTCCTCAATTGAGAGGCTCCGAATATTTCAACTACAAGAAGTACCATTCAATTGTTTTGTTGGCATTAGTTGACGGTAATAAAAGGTTCCTTGCTGTAAATGTAGGACAGTATGGGAGAGTTAGTGATGGAAGTGTGTTTACGAATAGTGCAATTGGTAATCGTTTGACTGAAGGAAACATTGGCTTGCCTGCAGATGAAAATTTGGGCGGGGTCTCTTTGCCATACGTCATAGTGGGGGATGGGACTTTTCCCCTTAAAAGATACCTTATGAGACCTTTTCCGAGAACAGGCCGACGACTCAATGAAGCAGAGCGAATTTACAACTACAGACTTTCAAGAAGCAGGAATACCGTTGAAAATGCTTTTGGTATTCTTTCTAATACTTGGAGGGTATATCATCATCCACTAGAGTGTCGTCTTAAACTTGCTGATAAAATTGTCAAAGCTATGGTGGTGTTGCATAACTATCTACGGGCATCATTGTTAACTCAGGCCAGTGTTCCGGCCAACGAAGAAGACGAAGAGGAGGTAGGCGAAGTAGTACAGGAATTAGTTCAAATGCGTGCTGGTACTGCAAGAACTGCAACAAGGGAAGCCCTGGGGGCTAGAACTTCTTTCATTGAGTACTTTATGTCTGATGAGGGTCGAGTGGAATAGCAAGAAAGAGTAGTGAATCGCATAGTTAAAAAAAATATTTTATAATAATTAGTATTATAATATAATTATATATAGTTCTGAAGCTATTTTCTTGTGGCATTGTAAATTAATTACTATTAAACTGGGAATAAGCCACAATTAAAGATAAAAATACGTTTATTGACGTTTCAATTTCCACTTCGGAAATCGTTCTGATAATACAAACAGTAAATTAAACAAATTTTGTTTTTTGTTACATAGTGAAAAATTTTTTAATAATTTAATTTTATCTGACTCATTTATATTGACAATTCAGACATACATTATGCATTTTAAAGTAGACGACTTTAAAATGATATTGCCAATATTGTTGAGTTGCGCTCCTGGGACGACTTTACTTATAAGATAGCAACTCAACAATATTGGCAATATCATTTTAAAGTCGTCTACTTTAAAATGCATAATGTATGTCTGAATTGTCTTTTTAAATGAGTCAGATAAAATTAAATTATTAGAATTTTTCACTATGTAACAAAAAACAAAATTTGTTTAATTTACTGTTTGTATTTTGAGAACGATTTCCGAAGTGGAAATTGAAACGTCAATAAACGTATTTTTATCTTTAATTGTGGCTTATTCCCAGTTTAATAGTAAATAATTATATATGTATTATGTATTTACCTGGTCTATGTAAAACTTTACTAATCTGCTCCCACGCATTATCCCTTACATTTTGATTCCTATAATCCTCCAAGGACTTTTTCCATAAACATGGTCGTTGTTTAACTTCCTCGATTAAAATTTCCAACACCATGTTTGTTTACTGTTTGTTTAACAATACGCGTCGACACCACCTAGACTTGCAACGGCGTAAATAAAAAACCAAAACATACGTTGGACCGTTTACTGCGCAAGCCCGTACTCGGCGACGAATAAAAATATATCCGACAACAAAACATTCAACGACGCAGCTAACATAGCGAACATCGTGAACATAGCGTCCGCGGATCTGTGTGGCCAGTCCTGTTGTCCACAACGGAAGATATATTTTCGTCGTATAGCGAACATCGCGTACGTAGCGAACATAACGCTCTGTGTGGCCGAGCCTTTAGACGTTCCTCTGCCTCAATACTGTGTGACAGTGGTGCAGAATTTTCAGCTATTAAAAGACTAGGTGGCTGGAAATCGACTGCTGTAGCAGAAGGTTATATAGATAATTTTATGCAGAATAAACTTCAGACGGCTGAAAATCTCTTGGGGCAAAATACCACTAAACCTTGTCAAAGTACTTCCTTCAGCACCACCGCTTCTTTTGCTATCACAGAATTTACTGAGGTCCAAGAAGACTTAAATATAAATTTGTCAAAATGCTACACAGCAGATAATCATTTATCAATACCTTCCTTTGATTTCAGTAATTAAAATATATAATAATAGTAATAAAACTACCACTAAGGAAAATGAAACATTGAATAAAGTAAATGTAAGCTAAAAAATTGTTGTTTATCGTTAAGTAAATAAAAATTTAAACTAAGATATCTTTATTTCTGAAAAGTACGGTCGACGGAAAATTTTTGTAACGAACTCCTGAATTAAAATGGTGATTAACAATCTCGAACATTAACGCGTTCGCTTCGCTCACGCGATAAAATATCTCAATTGTTAATCGCCCGTAATAATACACTTGTTGGTTAAATAACTATTAGTGGATTTATTGTGATAGTTTAGATACTTTATGAACTGTCATTTGAAGACTATGTATTTTTTTAAAAGTTTACAAAATAATGTCGGTTAGTAATATTTGGGGGGCGTAGAATACAAGTGGACCCAGTCCGCTTTTTGTTATTTATGAGTTAACAACTCTATAGCATGCTCCAACTAGGTAACATTTCAGTGTAATAAGTCCTATTTCTAATAATATCCGCTACACAGCAGTAAGATCTTGTGTTTAGTGACAGTTTATTGTTTTCTTTCAGAATACTACTGAACTAAGTGCAGGTAGTATTGTGTACAGTTTTTTGTTGACGTACTTTTAACGCTTTAGTTAGAGTTTTTGGTAGTTTATTACACATTATTTTTGTTGGCTAGATGTATTATGTAATGGATATTTCATCTAGATCAGGTGAAGAGCCTCGCTCTACTGAAACTTGTTCAAGACCATCTATTGGATGTGGAAACTATTGACTTAAAATTTATGATACCAGGCCACTCATTTACTCTCATCTCTCATCAAAAAATAAATTTGGTATGTAATTTTTCCAGCTATTATCAATACTCTCTTTGTCCACGATTACCTCTCCGTTGTTATCTGTAGAATATCGATTTCTTGGCATTTTTTCTTTAGTTCTTTCAATTTGGCTTTTCTGATCTTTCTTTGTATAACCTCTTTCGCTAAGTACAACCCGATGAGACCAAACACATAAGAAACACTTAACTACCAATAAAGCCTTTATCTTAATTTATTTTAATTAACAGTTGTCTTAATTAACACAATCATCTTACATACATTTTTAATTTTAATACTATTTTAGAATATCGATATATAAGAGCAGGAGGTGGCAGTTTGACTTGTCAACGATTAGAAGATCAATTAACTCTGGATATCAGTAAACGAAGCTTCACTATAAACAAAGGTAAATTTGATTCTGAGACTATTTTGATGTGGTATTTTTGTTATCAACCGTATTTGATTGAAATTTACTACAGTTTTAATTAATAAAAATACTTCTTTTACTACGTTTAGGAAATAAAAATCTCAAAACAAACATATTTTATTTAAACCAAGGATAATTCTGATGAAATATATAGTAAACAATAAACGTAAATTTAGTCTTATGTGTAAACAGTAATGAGTGCGGTAAGACCCTGAAGTAACGAAAAAGATGTAAAACATAATACGTTGTCAACTAAAAAGATTTCAATTTACTAGAGGTGGCAAATTATTGATAAGAAACCTTATTTACATTTACTTTATTACATTCCATTACCACTATCGATAGTTTCCCACCTTTAGTCGTTAGCTTGTGAGCTATAGACATCGAGCAAAAAGATAAAAGAGGGAATCTAATCGTTATGAAAAGGAGACCAAAAAAGTGGCCTCTGATGGCGGACATATCCGGAAATGCAAAGGCGCTAAATTTAAATTTTCCAACACTTATTAACAATAGCTATAAAATATTTTTCAGACGAGAAAGTTTTAATTAAATATTAACTATAATAGTCTAAAAAGTGACACAATTGGTAAAAGATTTCAATATAAATAAAATTTCATGTGACAGTTGGGACAAACAATAACATAACCTAACTAAATTTGACTTCTTAAACAAGGAAAGAGACTGTCTATCCTTGTCTAAAGTGGCCTCTCAAGATGGCACTTCCTGTCTATCAATATGTTTACCCCCACTACCTTTACATTCCCTCTTTTGTCTTATTGCTCGATGGCTATAGAACATCCCAGAGGTACTTTTCAGTGCGTAGCAGTTTTTCGATTTCTTTCTAATGCATTAAGTTGGATGTGACGGAGAAAGCGGTAGTTCCGTGATTAAACAGAACTATATTGCAGCCTTAGAATAAGCTTACATACATAAGAGGTTCTTTCCTAACCTACGTTTGATTCGTTGATATTTAGATACGCGCTTTCTCTAGCCAATCATCTACGCCTATTACTGACAGTTGACGTAAAGCTTCGTCCAGACAAAAGTGAAGTCCGTTCCTGTGTCGTGAAGACAAAACTAAATAAAAAAATTTAATTAGTAGTAATGTTTTAATCACAAATTAAATTATTGATCAAGAATAATTTCTACTATGATTTGAGACGTCCCATACACTCTTGTCACTAAAGAATTATCGAACCTTGGTGGTTTAGTGGTAAGAGTACTATTCGCTATGTGCAAGTTTCGAAGAGCGACACCTAGTGACATAAATCAGCATATATGTTAAAACTATTACTATTTTAGTCTTATATTAGCTGCAAATAAAGTGACTCAAACTTGTTTATCTATTACAATAATTATTGTAATATAAATATATCAATAATTAACTTTTTGAATTTAAATCATGAATGTATTGCTTGAGTGAGTTCATTTCAAATAGGTAAAAGAAATAATAAATAAGACTTACTCACAATCAGTTTAATTTACTCCGCCAGGGTTGTCTGATGGGTGGATTGAGTAGCTTATCGGATGACACTGCCGGTCCCAAGCCCGGATAAAGGAGGCCCCATGGCAAGGCTAGCCACCTACCTGGGGTAAAGAAACCCATATTGGCTCATAGAACTGAAGATTCAGCCTCGGATACCGGACGGAAATATCAGATGACGACACACGCTATGACAATGGAAAAACGAAGTAGTAAACTAAAACCTAAAGACCCCATCACACGAATCGCGTGCTGGAACATTACGTCGTGGAACGGAAGAGACCAGGAGATTATAATAGAAATGAAGAAACACAATATTGACATCTGCGGAATCTCCGAAACAAAGAAAAAAGGCCAAGGAACATCAAAATACGGAGAATTTATACTCATATACAGCGGGAAAGCTAAGCAAGAAAGAGCGCATTCAGGAGTTGGAATTTTGCTGCACGATAAATACACGCAAAACATCGAAGATATTGAGTACATCAACGATAGATTATTAAAAATCTCTATAAAAATGCATAACATCACAACACACCTGATAAGCACGTATGCCCCAGACATATCTAAGCCCACAGCAGAAACTGAAAATTTCTATCAGCAACTACAAAACGTCGTAGATAACATAAATACGAAACACAAAATTATCGTACTCGGGGATCTTAATGCACGGATCGGAAACGTTGTCATACCAGGTATAAAACAAAAGTACAACGAAGAAATAATTAATGAAAACGGCGAAGCACTAATAGACTTTTGCGCTAGAAATGAAATGAGAATCAACAATACATACTTTCCTCATTAAGACCAACATAAATACACTTTTAACAATAATCGAGGCCAGCGATCAATGATAGATTTTATAATCACAAATCGAGCGATAACTCCGTCACAAGTACTTGATGTCAGAGCACTAACATCTGCTAACCTGGGGACTGATCATAATCTTGTTTTATGCAAGATGCTACTAGAACGTCCGCAACGAAACAGAAAACCCCCAATGTTTATCGAAAAACATAATATAGAGTCGCTAGCAACAGAGAGTAGAAAACTGCTCTATGAGAACAGGATTACCAGCAAACTAAAAGAGATCGACTTAAAACCCGAATGGGGAGTAGAAGATACTTGGCAAAAAATTAAGAAATGCATCAACGAAGCAGCAGAAGAAGCGATTGGTAAGCGGAAAATTAACACGAGAGCGACAAACCACACCAAACCGTGGTTTTGCATAGAAGTAAAAGAACTCTCTGAATTAAAACGCAAATGCTATCTGAGATATAAAAGCATGCAATCGGAAGAAGCTCATGCAGAATATGTCCAAATAAGAAACGAAGTAAACGCCAGAATAAAATCAATCAAAAGAGAACATTGGGCCAAATTCACTTGCGACATGGACTACGACCTATATGGTGCTCAAAAGAAAGTATGGAAAATGCTCCGCAACAGGAAAAAACCAGTTAACGAGTTCGTGCAGACCAAAGGAGTACCTATAGAGACATGGCAACAGCATTTTAAAGAGCTATATGATGCTGAAGAAACGCTGAATATAAACGAAGGCGAAACATATATGAGTGTTACAATCAATGACGAAGAAGTAGAAGCAAAGATCAAAAAGCTAAAAAACAGAAAATCACCGGGAAGGGATGGTATACCCAATGAACTTTTAAAATATGGAAGCCCGGAACTTGCAAGTAAACTGGCACAACTATTTAACAAAATATTAAACAAAACAGAAACACCAGAGGAATGACATAATAGTATCACAATCCCCATATTTAAAAAAGGACAAAAAACCTGCCCACAAAACTATAGAGGAATAACCCTCTTAAATACAACAATGAAACTTTTCACGGGTATTCTCAAGGACAAATTGGAAAAGCAAATCACTAATGCTGAAGAACAACTAGGTTTTACAAAAGGGCGGTCTATAACAGACGCAGTATTTATAATAAAACAAATAAAAGAAAAAGCTATAGAGTTCGGCATGCCAGCGTATATTTGCTTCATTGATTTGACGAAGGCATTTGACAGAGTTCGCCTGGGAGACATTCTAAATATATTAATAGAAAATGAAACACCGACCAGTATAACAAAGATACTCCATAATCTAAATAACAAGAACGTAACCAAAGTTAGAGCAGGAGACGAATTCACTAAAAATATTCCAACACCGGGAGGAATTAGACAAGGCGACAGTTTAAGCCCCTTCTTGTTTAATCTTCTCATGGGCAAAATTATCAACAAAGTAACATCTCTTAATCTCGGATATAGAATGGGCAACAAAAGAATTGGTATGGTGTGTTACGCAAACGATGCAGCAATTATTGCCGAATCAGAAGATGCTCTCCAAAGGCAGCTCTTTCAGTTCTTTCAAACAAGCCGACTACTAAATATGAACATCTCTACCAACAAACCTAAATGTATGACAATAGCAAAAGATCCGCTCAGATGTAAGTTAGTGGTTGAGGACAACCCCATAGAACAGGTGATGCAATTCAGATATCTGGGCATAGATATATCAAGCACCCACGACCCAGTGCAGAACCTGAGGAGTCAGATCAACAAAGCATCTGCACTGTCAGGATGTCTGCGGGAGATAGTCTGGTCAAATCCGTATATGCGCAGAGATAGTAAAATTAGAATCTATAAGACTTGCATACGACCGATCATGACATATGGCATAGAAGTGCGCGAAGATACCAACAAAACGAAACAGATGCTAAGGGTTGCCGAAATGAAAACCCTAAGAACAATAATGGGGAAAACAAGAAGAGACAGAGTGAGAAATTCAAACATTAGAGAGCAGTGCAAAATTCAAGATATTGTAAGATGGGGAAGGCAGCGCAAGAGGATGTGGTACAACCATGTAAGACGAATGGATGAGAATAGACTCCCAAAAATTGCCCTAGAAAACAATCCATCCGGTTCAAGACCCCCCGGAAGACCACCTAAAAGATGGAGGGATAGTTGGGAATCTACCTCCCAAGAAATTAACCAGAGGCAGCTTCAGAATTAAACAGATCGAAAGATCTACAAAAAGTAGAAGAAGAAGAAGTTTAATTTAACTATCTAGATGACCGGTTTCGCTTTCTACAATATCCAAAGCATCTTCAGGTCTGTCGATACAAAGTTAACTAAATGATGCCGGTACAGTATTAATTAATGGTTGGCAGAACATAGTTGAAACTATCCTGTATTGCTGAATGGAGATCTTCAGTTTTTACTATTGTAATTGTTTCACAATCAACGGGGAAGTTTCTTAAGGAGATAGATTTTATCCAATGAAGTAGAAAATAGGTGTAATGTGATTGTTTGTTAAATGAAAGTGATATTCTGTATTATTTAATACTTTAAAAGTTATTTATATTTAAATCATGAATGTGTTGCTTGTGTGAGTCCATATCAAATAGGTAAAGAAATTTTTATTATTTTTATTATTTCTTTACCTATTTATTTATATTTATTCGAGAGATATATTTATGAAATGTGTGTTATTTATTCAAATTTTTATTAAGGTGACAGTTGTATGACAATTGTTGTATGGCAAATGATTGAAAAGTTAAGTATGTTAAAAATTATTTAAACTAAAACAATTAAGGACACTTAGGGACAAACAGAACACACTTAAAAAGGACTACATTTTAAAAAAGGGGGACATAATAGCACTACATCTCCGAATTGGAGACGAGTAAGTCTTATTATTTTGATCACTAATTTGATCAAATAATGGCAGCATATTCCATTTGTTGGAAAAGTAGAAGATGGTGGGTGAAGCTTCTATATTACTTTATAGATGCATGTATTGTGAATGCCTATATACTTTATAGAGACCTGGGGGAGGGAGACCTGGACTTTAGGAGCAAATTAGCGGATCTGCTCATAAGAAATTATAAGGTCAGGAAACGGCCAGGATCTACAACTATAAACAGAAATGATTTAGGAAACATTACGCACGTTCCAGTTAAAACAATCAAAAGGAGGTGTCAATAATGTTCCAAATGGGGAATCCAGAAGCGTAGTAATTATAAATGCCATGTCTGTGATGTAGCTTTATATGTGAAGTGTTTTGGTCCATACCATAATACTTTAATTTAAAATATATTGTTTTATTTAGATAATGTTTTGATTTGATACTGTTTGTATTTTTAGTGTATTTTTATAATAAATAATATTGAATCGTTTTGGTATACCATGTATACCAGAGAACTTTCATGATTTTTTTTAATCCTTCCTGGTACCTGGTTTGCCACATTTGTACAGAAAAATCAACCATCTAAAAAATACAAAAAAAATTTTTTACTACTTAGTGTACATATTTTTGTGTAAACATGCACTTTTTAAGCCAGTTTAGCAAAAAGATAATTTTGCGCTTTAAAGGGTTAAATAATGGTTTGGGAACGATTATTGACCTAAACGGAGGCTTATAAGGAAAAGACACCACTGAAATCAGCAAATATGGTCCCCCTTTTGCCAAACATTTTATGATACAATTAAACTGGCAGTTGCTGATTGCCAAAAAAAAATGACGATTCTGATTAGAGTGTTTGAGACTGTCCTCTTTGGTTTTCTGCATTATTCCAGTGATAGAATAGTGAAATTTATTATTGTATTACGTACTTTGTCCTTAGGTTAGTTCTGTTATACAAAACAAACAAGATTTTTTGCAAAAACACAGCATTTTTCTTATTTCTTCAGACAATCTTTCTCTCATTTTTCCCAAATATATGAGTAACAGAGCAACAAGAGAATGAGCACAACTCTTACGGAAATTAACTTGGGAAATCGCTAAGGTCCATTCTGCTCATTTTTGACGCTTTGTTTTGGTGGAAGCGCGACGGCATATCGGATCGTGACGTGTAGGTATCGTTGGAAAGGGAAGGGGGTAACGAATACGGTGAGGTAAAAAACAAAGATGACGGCATTGCCAAAAGGACACTAAGCTTGTAACGTATAAACGGCCCAACGTTCAACAACGTGCAAGGTATCGATGGAAAGGGGAGGTGTGCACGTGGACGATTATTGCACCATGTCCTTCAGTTTTAATCAAACTTTATCAGTCAACGTTTGTAAAAGATGGAGTGACAACCTTACTGAGATAATAATGCGCTAACGAATTGCAGAGTAGAAAAATAAACTGGAAGTATTTTTCATTTTACTATACGGTTTTGTAAAAACTATTTCATATATTACTATGTACATCAACAATTTTTTTTTAATAAATTCCTAATTTTAATCATAATTTTTTTTAGAAACGAACTGCAATGAAACAACTTTTGGAGAGACTTGTATTCCGTGTGATATATTTGGTGAACAGTTCTGTAAATCTTTTAAATATTGTGAATCGTCTGGGATAACTAAGCAATGCTTCTGTACTGCAGGCTACCAGAACGATAATTGTGAAGGTAAGGTGGTATGAAATAATAAACAGAAATACGTGCTTCATATAAGTATAAATTTTAATTAAGTTTTCTTCTTAAAGTGCCGTTTCCCTACGGAGGTTGGCACTCATAACGGCTATTTTTATTTTTGAACTTTTTGCTGTTAACAAAGCAGTCGATATGCATTGATACCAATCTCATAGATTCTTCAATCAAGAATTATGTCTTTCTAGCATTCCATATAGAGTGGTCTTCATGCGAGACGTTCTAAACAGAAAACTGGAAAGAGTAATTTTTTTCTTCATGTAGTGCTCTATTTAGTCTATGACTTAGCCTATTAAGGTACGTTTTATTTAGTAGATTTCTCGTTTGTTGCCATTTTTTGTTGCTTATTTCTGCTACAAGTTCTCTTAAATGGAAAAATTATGGTTTTATTGCACACTTCTTTGACGCTGTGATGTTGCTTCGCATCCTATTGTTTATAAAACTGTCTACTGTTTTCTCTGCATCTAGGTTTTCTTGTATGATAATGTCTAATCTTTGTATTTGGTGAATTTGGAAAACATCCCAGTTTGTTTCTTTAGTTGTGAGTTTGAGTGGTGGTGTTCTACAAATTACGTGTCTGCTTAAAGTTATTAGTATTGTGCTGTGGTCTGATGTCTGATCTTTAAATTGAAGTTTAACTCTATTGCACTATGTATGTCAGCTATCCCTCTTGTTACAGCAAAATCTACCAAATCTGGGATTTTTTTGTGGTCCGTAGACCAGTATGTGCGTTCTGTTTTTGATGAGTATCTTAATTTATTTTGTTGGATGATATTCATTGATACTCGACCTTTAGGCGTGATTAATCTAGAATCTATGTGGTGTTTGGCAGTCCAGTCTCCTGCTACTATGAATTTGGATCCAAGATTTTGTATGAAATCAACATGACTCGTCGCTTGAGATGGAATGGCTAGGTGGGCTATAGATTGATATTAGACTGAGAGAGGTGTTTGTATTGATTTTAATGATTGTGGCTTGAATTTTTTCCATAATATAAGATTGGACTATTGGATTGAATTTTTGATTTAATAATAACGGCAGTGCCTGTATGTGCTCCTCCGTCTGGATGGTTTTCTTCATACACTATGCAGTATAGTAAAGTATCTTAATAACCGTTCTTTGCGTGACATGGCTTTCAAATATTAATGGAATATCTTTATTATTTATTTTTAAAATTAGTGATATCTCTACAATATTTTTAATATTTTCATAATCACGCTGTTTTGGTTTAAGAGTTGAGAAAAAATATTTTTGAATTCGATTAGGGAATTTGGTATTGACATTAGGACTATTGACAGGAATTTTGAATGGTGATTGGTTTTGATTTGTTATTGTATCCGACATTTAGTAATTTACGATAAACATAATATCCTCTATAATTAGTAGGATGGTGCCCTTTACATTGAGTGCAAGTTGCTGGCTTGTTTTTCAGTTGTTGTGTAATTCAGCGCATTTTACGTAATTATATGTTTTTGCACAGTACAGTTTAGTGTGACCATACATACTGTGTACATTGTGGTATATTTCTTTTAATTCTCGGTGGTTCTGCTCTTATTTAACAATGTTGTATATACTGTAGTACAAATATTTCTTTGTTGTTCGTTTGAGGCTTGAGGTCCACAAAAAATAATGGTAATGGTTCACTACTCTGTATCTGACATATGTAATGTTCCTTACCTTATTACTCTGTTTTTGATTTCCGCTATTATTTCATCTATCGGCAAGGAGTGATGTAGGTGTCGAATAACTGCTGTGTATACTCTGTCTTCCTAAGGTTAGTATGTATGGTAGACCATATTTTTCTCTTGTGCGTGATGTATCAGTTTTCTGTAGAATTCAGGTGTGTTTGGTAAAATTTTTATTGTGTTGTTTGTTAAGGTTTAAGTAAAGTAAGACTTTCCACCTACCGCTTGATCCAAATTATCTATCATTTTGCTATAGTCATTAACGACGTATATAAAAATTGGAGAAAATTTTGAGATTGATGGATTTTTATTCGTATAATTTGAACTTATTTTTCTTTTGAATCTTGACGTTTAAGCCTTTTTATTTTAGTTCTTATTGTTTGCCACGGATGTTTACTATTTTAAAAGTCTTCATCTGACATCAAGCTTGAGTTTACAAGTTAACAAGTTTAAGGTAGCTTGAGAGTTTGATATAGAATGAGAAAAGTTGGTTTGTTGGGCAACTGTTGGCTGTACCTGATATTGTTGTTAATAATTATCAAAAGGTGGCATTTGGTTTACTGTTGGTTGACTTGAGCACAATGGTGAAGCTTGAGTATATATTTGACTTACTTGGTAATACGGATGTATTAGGTTAGTAGTCTCGTTCTATATTACAGTTGCAAACTGCACTGTAGCATACTAAAAATTACTTGGATCCTGGTCCGTTCCCTGTGAAAATATTTTCACTTTACTTCGAGCTCACTTATATTTCACATTGACTGGACAAATAAAAATTTATTTATTTATCAAGATTCAAACAAAATTTATTAAATCTTGAGAAAATCTAAGAACTGCCAAAAATTAATTTTTTTCCGGGAAAACTCCAAAGTTCACAAAAATTTGACAGTTATTTTGACAATTATACGTGATAAAATGTGTCTTTATTTAACTTCTTTACAGATCTTTATTTCTTTTGACTGTTGTCTATCAATTTACTGCCAATGTGCTTATTTCTAAGTATTGATATTATTTCCCATGTCATACTCTATCGAAAGCTTTTTCGTAGTCAGCACAGCACAGTCAGCACAAATGTCGTTCGTAAACTGTGTTAAAAAAATCTGCCAATACATTCAAATTATCCTCTTTCACTAAATTTAACTGTTCTATAGGTATATCGTCTAATCTAGAAATCTTTAGTCCAATCTTTAAGTTTGGTTTGCTAAATAAAAGAAGTATTTCTTATTTTATTGGATAGTTTTATATTCAGCATTTATCTTTTCCTAAACCGTTGTGTTTTTGTTATCCTTTTTGATAAACGTTCATATTTGGGAGTTGTATGTATGAAGTGCTTACAGATAAATGAAATAAAAAAGATTTGTAATATTTTTAGAGAGGAGAGCTATAGTGAACAAATTTGTAAACTGAAAAATTATCGTTCCAACTAATTATATACTGATAAATATCCTGGAACTATTATTCAGGATCTGCTTAACTAAAAGTCTTTTGTAGTGAACTTTAAGGGACCTTATGATGGCCTGATCCATCGGTTGCAGAACAAATGTGCAGTTTGGGGGCAAAAAAGAAGTTTAATATTTTTTAAACCGTTAACTTTTGGATGGGCTGTACAATTGTCAACAATTAAAAGAATTTTTCAATGTCACAACTCTCTGTCTCACTTCAAAAGTTCTCCACTAAAAATATTTGCTGTCATCCATGATTTTTTATTAAATTTATATGGGACAGGAAGCTGATTCGCACCTCTGAAACATCGTGGTTTTTAAGATTTCCCAATGATGACTAACTTCCTTTTTTCGGAACCGGACATGTTGGCACACGCGAGTAAAGTTGCCTTTTCTTTTGATAACTTGCCACCTATAAAACGTTCATTTTTGAATTTGACTGTCTTATCCAGAGTAAATTTTAAAAAAAGTCCTAGCTCGTCTGGATTGAAAACATTATTTTCACTCTAATTTTGTCTTATTGCAGGCCACGACTTTAACCAGTTGTCGGTGACTTTTTTGGAAACATTCTTCGGTTCACTGCAAATTTTTCCACACTTAATTTCATGCCTACCCTTAAAACGGCTCATCCACCTACTTGATGCTTTAAAATTCTCATCGCCATCTAGCGCCTGCGAAAATTGTGTTGCTTTTTCTTAAAGCAGTGACCCACTTATTGGAAAATTCGCAGCCCTGTTTACGGTAAATCATTTGACCATTGCAGTATCGAGTTCTTCATTAGTTTTTTCGATTTACGGGAATAAGACGAACCTGCTTCGAAAATCTTGTATTTATTTTTGAGCATTGTAGATAGAGTGGAACTTGAAATTCCTCTTTCACGACCGACAAACTTCTGCTTTGTTATTACCATTCTCAACATCTTTAAGGATGTTAATTTTTTCTTCTTAAGTAAATGCTTTTCTTTTAGGAGTCCTAGTGTGTAATATATGTGCCTATGTAATCTACAACAACTTTCAAAACGCGAAAGCACAATCAAATTCCAGTGAAATTAGTTTCAGTTGTAATGTTTTTAAGCCTGTTTACGTATTTTATTAGGTGCAAATGGTTAAACCCCTACACTAACCTGATGAATCATAAATTGTTAATTTCCGACAACATAATATCGGTCAGTAGATTAAACAGAAGAAGTTTATTGCGGGCGGCAGTTAAAAAGGGTCTTTATTTATAACCACAGCCGGGCCAAAATCGTAAAAAAAATCATTTTTCAATCTTATTTTCTCTCGTTATCAGCAAATTTGCTTCGCTGTAGAGGGTTATAGTTCAATAGAAATTTCATGGGACATCTAATGTACCTCGTTATATACGAAATGTCGTAATAACTGTGTTAATTATAGAGGGAGTATACTGTATATATAAATACATATATTTTTGACGACAAAAGTTTTTTAACTATTTAATTATTATAATTTACAACAAATCTACGAAGAGAAATATTCACATCCGGTTTAATTGTCAATGATTTATACGTATTTCTGAATTTTTCACCAATAGATAAGCCTGCAATGGCACTGCCAGGTGACCAGATGAGAAATGTCTCTCTATCGATGGTTGAGATAAAACATTAAGCTAGTAATACTGAGAATATTTAAAATGAAATAAATAGAAAGAAAAAATTAAAACAATGTAACAAACAATAAAAACAAATATTAAATTATATAAAGTCGTCTATTTTAAAATGCATAATGTATGTCTGAATTGTCAATATAAATGAGTCAGATAAAATTAAATTATTAGAAGAATTTTTTCACTATGTAACAAAAAACAAAATTTGTTTAATTTACTGTTTGTATTTTGAGAACGATTTCCGAATTGGAAATTGAAACGTCAATAAACGTATTTTTATCTTTAATTGTGGCTTATTCCCAGTTATAAATAGTAATAAAAACAAATTTAACAAAAATTTTTTGTATAATTATAGTGTGTCCAGAAAAGTATTATGGCCACGGATGTAAAAAATATAGTCATTGCATGACAGGTATTAATAATATTGATGGAAGTTGTAGAGGAGATTGTGAAAATCCCTATGTTGGTAGTAGCTGTCAGGATGGTAAGTATTTTTCTTCATTCGATATTACTGTCTTTTTTTTTAGCGTAAGCCACTCTCGTTGTTACACTAATTTTTTAGTCATAACTGCCCTTAAATTTTGGTTGTGCTGTGCCACGTACCACATTATTATCTCGTAGACTATTTTATTTAGTTTATTTACGCAAGTGACCATGAGAGGCCAGGTAAATATCAAGTAATTCAATCTAAAAAGTGTATAATAACAGCTACCACCAGTAACAATATGTGTGACAAAGTAAGTAATGATAACTTTACAAATAAAAGTAATGGTGGCAAATACCAAATACATAACTCTAATGTTCAGCCTAAAAAACCAAAAAACTAACGGAGTAGAAATAAACGAAAAGAACATGTTACGAGAAGAACATATTACAAGGAAAGGTATACAAAAGTATTTCAAGTACTTACTACATGCTGCCGCAATAAATGTCACGAGGAACTTTGCCTAGATGAATAAAAATAATTTTTTTATGATTTTCTTAAAAAAGATGGAAGACAAAGACAAAGTAATTTCTGAAAGAATGAAGATAGAGTCAGAGAAGAGAGAAAGAAAAGATAAAGGAGAACGCGGAAATAATAAAAATAGACAAATTGTGGTTTTATATTGTATCACATGACCAAAAAATATTAAAATTTTGAAGAGAAATGTTTCAGAATCTACATAGTATTACAAGAGAAAAAATTGATATTTTGTTAAAAAATAAACATTTAATACCCACAGGTTTTCTGGAAAACACCAACCACATAACGCTCGACCAGACGAAAAAGCTGAAGTTATAAAACATACAGAATCTTTTCCAAAATATGAGAGCCACTACTCTCGAAGACACACAAGTCGACTCTATATATAGCTCCCAACCTAAATATTAGACTCATGTATGATCTTTATGCATCAAGTAGAACCATCTGTATCATATTCATTTTATGCTAAGATTTTTAAAGAACACCGAACTCTTTACCAAAGCGTAAAACTTTTATATCATACCATTTCAAATTTTCATTATCCACACCTTTATCACGCTTTACATAGACATTTTAATGGCTGTTGATCTATAAACAAATAAAGATAGTGCTCTTGCAACAATGTTATTTTTATTTAAGAACCCGAATACAGAACAAGTTTTTCAACTGTATCGATAAAGTTGTCAAGATATTTTAAAAGACAGGAAGCTACTTGAGCTGATCAACGGTCTGAAAACCTCTCATTCCACATGAAGAGTTATTTTCAGTGCAATTTATGATGGTGAGGTTATATGTCCAGAGCAATATTTTATAGTAGACTACAGTTGTGCATAAATTGGGTACTGGTAGGTTGTGTTGGAAGTAAAATACTAAAACAACCAGTTTACTGTTACTATTACTATTACCGTCTGGAGAACTCTATGTCTGCTCTTTTTCATTATATACAATCTCTGCTAGCTAAAAGTGTTTATTTTTCTCTTCATTCACGGCTGCACGCATGTCTTCACTATTAGAGGATTTTTTCTTTTTTTCTAGACAATCACAAATCTTGAAATCGTAGGCTTCCACGGCCAGAGTCAGAATTATAGTTTATTCGTCTTCCGGGTTTGGACCGTGTCATTTGTGAGTGACCCAAAAGTGGGTTCATCTCGACGTTTCGCTACAATTGTATGTAGCTTCTTTAGGAGAACAAAGAAAAAAGAAAAAAGAAATCAAAGGACAGGAAGATGGGTAGTTAGCAACGGTAACTCAGTTACTCAACGCAACCAGAGGCGAATACTAACTACCAAGATGGGCATTTGGTCACAGTAACTCAACTACTTAACGCAGCCAGAGGTGAAAACCAAATGCCAGGACAGGGATTCACGTCCAACAGCTCAGAACACTAACGCGTCGAGAGGCGGGGAGTCAATCCGACGATTACTCCGCAACCCGCTCTATTTATAGTCGCGGTGACCTGTCGTGTCGGGACGTATCGGCACACTTCGTGGCGCGAACGTCAAGAAGCGCGCGCTGGCCAATCATGTGGCTGCATCGTGGTAGCGGGACCAGACGGCGGCTCTAGACTGAGATTCCAGATGGGAGACAAGTAGTATCCTTCCTCTCGATTGATATTATGTAGATTTTTTCGGATCTCTAGAGATTCCCGGATTTTCCTGGAATAAAAGAAGGGGCTCTTAGAAATAATATGGTTTTTTTCGAACAATATGGAATCGAATGTATCTTTGATGCTCTTGAATCCGAGTTTTGACGGAACGACCAGTTTCGCCAATATACACATGTCCACATGAACAAGGAATAGAATAGACACCACAGGAAGATAGGGGCGGTAATGGGTCCTTAGGAGAGGGTAGATATTGTGAGATTTTTCTTGGGTGGTCGAAAAGTAGTCCTGATACCTTCTTTGCGAAGAATTTTGCCAATCCTATCAGTGACGCTTCGAATATACGGAAAAAAATCCACAGGAGTATTACCCGAAGATTCTGAATTTGTCGTCCTAGGATGTAAAGGGGGATGTAGATGTCGGTGTGTAATATTTTGAATTGTGGACTTGGAGTAACCGTTGGCGACAAGGGTGTTTTGCAGATGGCCAAGTTCTTCTCTAAGGTTGTCGGGTTCAGAAATCGAAATAGAAATTGCCTCTAAAAGAAAAATATGTTGAAAGGAGGCATTTTTCTGCAAGATCTGCCAAAACCAAAGACTTGTTATCATTGGTCAAGTGATCTCGCAGAACAACTAGAGAGTCATGTATGGGGATATTGGTAAATAGGGATGATACATCGAAACTGACGAGAATGTCTTGGGGATCGACCAACATATTTTTTCAACATATTTTTCTTTTAGAGGCAATTTCTACAAACAAATATCTGGAACACCAATGGGTTCTCCCCTTTCCCCTGTCATTGCTGACATTTTCATGGAAGCCTTTGAGTCTTTAGCCCTAGAATCTTACCCCTTAAAACCAAAAGTCTGGTTCCGCTACGTTGATGATACATTTATCATCTGGCCCCATGGTTAACATACCCTTTCTCCCTTCCTAGATCATCTTAACTCACAACATCCGAGTATAAAATTCACAATGGAAGTAGAAAATAATCGGTCCCTTCCCTTTCTCGATGTGTTAGTCACCTCCAAGCCCAATGGCCGATTGGGTCACTCTGTTTACTGAAAAAAGACACACACGAATCGTTACCTACATGCTTCATCACACCACCATCCTACCCAAAAGAATTCTGTGATCAACTCTCTCATCCATCGGGCCATTTCGATTTCTGAACCCGACAACCTTAGAGAAGAACTTGGCCATCTGCAAAAAACCCTTGTCGCCAACGGTTACTCTAAGTCCACAATTCAAAATATTACACACCGACATCTACATCCCCCTTTACATCCTAGGACGACAAATTCAGAATCTTCGGGTAATACTCCTGTGGCTTTTCTTCCGTATATTCGAAGCGTCACTGATAGGATTGGCAAAATTCTTCGCAAAGAAGGTATCAGGACTACTTTTCGACCACCCAAGAAAATCTCACAATATCTACCCTCTCCTAAGGACCCATTACCGCCCCTATCTTCCTGTGGTGTCTATTCTATTCCTTGTTCATGTGGACATGTGTATATTGGCGAAACTGGTCGTTCCGTCAAAACTCGGATTCAAGAGCATCAAAGATGCATTCGACCAGGTCTTTTCTCCCATTCTGCAGTTGCAGAACACTGCCAAGAAACCGGTCATTTCATATTGTTCGAAAAACCCATATTATTTCTAAGAGCCCCTTTTTTTATTCCAGGAAAATCCGCGAATCTCTAGAGATCCGAAAAAATCCACATAATATCAATCGAGAGGAAGGATACTACTTGTCTCCCATCTGGAATCTCAGTCTAGAGCCGCCGTCCGGTCCCGCTACCACGATGCAGCCACATGATTGGCAAGCGCGCGCTTCTTGACGTTCGCGCCACGAAGTGTGCCGATACGTCCCGACACGACAGGTCACCGCGACTATAAATAGAGCGGTAGCGGAGTAATCGTCGGATTCACTCCCCGCCTCTCGACGCGTTAGTGTTCTGAGCTGTTGGACGTGAATCCCTGTCCTGGCATTTGGTTTTCACCTCTGGCTGCATTAAATAGTTGAGTTACTGTGACCAAATGCCCATCTTGGTAGTTAGTATTCGCCTCTGGTTGCGTTGAGTAACTGAGTTACCGTTGCTAACTACCCATCTTCCTGTCCTTTAATTTCTTTTTTCTTTTTTCTTTGTTCTCCTGAAGAAGCTACATACAATTGTAGCGAAACGTCGAGATGAACCCACTTTTGGGTCACTCATAAATGACACGGTCCAAACCCGGAAGACGAATAAACTATAATCACAAATCTTACAATTCTTGCATGTATCAATACTAGAATTTTTAAATTTATATTCAAGTTTTTTAAAAATCTTAGCAAAAATAAATATGATACAGGCATTGTTCTGTTTGATGCTTAAAGATCATACACGAGTTTAATATTTAGGTTGGAAGCTAGATAGGGACCACTTGTGTGTCTTCGAGAGTAGTGGTTCTTACATTTTGGAAATGATTCTATATGTGTTGTTCAACTGTTTCACATGCGAAAAATCATGTCATTTTTTCATTGTATTACTACCTACCATTCTACCACACTTTTACAATTATTTCCCATTCTTCAACCCTCCTACTCACATTTTAACCCCACCCCATTAGAAATACAGACAGTTGTACGATAGCAAACGAGAAAGACTCTCTCTTGCCTGTTACCTATCGCTTAGTACAAACGTTCCTCTCTTGCCTGTTCCCTATCATTAAGAACAGTCGCTACTCTCTTGCCTATAACCTGTCGCTTGGTACAGACATACCTCTCTTGCCTGTTATCTATTGCTGAAGACAGACGCTCTCTCTTTCCTGTTGACTATTGTTAGTAATAGAGGTATCCTCTCTACTGTTGACTGCCGCTAACAACAGATATTTTCTCTATCTCTCTCACCCGCTTTTAGTTACGCGAAAAATACCGTAAATACCGTTTAAATCATGTACAGACGCAAACTGTGCTCTATCTCTTGATCTCAGTGTTAGTACCGCGAGATACGTGTTCAAAAACCGGTAACCCGAACAGCCTTCCCGTACGAAGAACAATCGCGAGTGAAAGCCTGTCAATACCGCGAGTGTGCGCAGAAGAAATATTGCTAAGACTTTGTATAAACTTAATTTGATATTGTCTGTAAAACCCTTTACTACATATTCTAATTTATTTGAACCAGCCCTATGTAATACAGTCCTCATACACTGAAATTTTACTCATAATTTCACGTTTCATGTTTTATAACTTCAGTTATTTCATCTGGTCGAGCGTTGGCGTTTTTCAGATCCATTAGATTGTATAAAACCTGTGGGTGATAGTTGTTTTTTTTTTATCAAAAAATAAATTTTTCCTCTTGTATGAAGATTTTGGAACATTTTTTTTGCAAATTTTTAATATTTTGTCGTTATACGTGATAAAATATAAAACCACAATTCGTCTGTTTTTATTATTTCCGCGATCTCCTTAATCTTTTTTCTGTCTTCTTTCACTCTATCTTTATTCTCTCAGAAATTACTTTGTCTTTGTATTGCACTTTTTTAAGAAAATCATAAAAAATTTCTGTTTGTTCATCTAGGGAAAGTTTCTTGTGACATTTAAAACGCTTGAAATAGTTTTGCAGGTTTTTGTATACCTTTTCTTGTAATAACTCATTCCCCTAACATCTTTTTTTCGTTTATTTCTACTCTGTTATATTTTGGTTTTTTAAATTGATCATTAGAGTTGTACAAATACCAGTACAGGACTTATAATGGGCAATTCTCTTAGCAAGTTGCTATCAGTTATTTTTATGGATCATCTAGAGACAAAGATTTCAAAACATCCCATATTCACCATACTTCACGAATATAAACAGTTTTTATATTGGTGGAGATACGTAGACAACGTATGTTTCACAGGAACTAACAGGCAGCTCGACGAATTTTTATCGTATATTAATTCACTTTATAGCCATATTGAATTTACAATAGAAACAGATCAAAATCAATCCAAACATTTTTTAGATTAAAAAATTATCAGAATTAAAAACAAACATGACTTTTCCATATTTCATAAACCTAACTATACTGACACGACTATGCACAATTCATCATCGCATCCCAAACAACATAAACTGGCAGCCTATCATAGTATGTTACATATGTAGATTAACAGAAATTTCGATGTCAGAATACAACTTTGAGACATAATTAAATATCATTAAGCAAATAGCCGTAAACAATGGCTACAACGAACAAACAATTAAAAAACTTTTAAATCAAAAACTACACAAGAAAGTCCTGATATTAATATTTCCACCACCAGAGAAAAAACTCAGTATCTTTTGCTCGATTACATATACAGGCAAAATATCAACAAAATAGCCACACACATAAAAAAGAAAGGAATAACACCAGATTTCAGAACAAACAACAACTTAGGCAAATATATTAAAAAAAACAAGAACAAAAATAAAATACACTTACAGACTGGTTTATACAAACTTAAATGTGGCGACTGCTCAAAAACTTACATCGGTCAAATTGGTAGAAATTTTAATAAACGAATAGCAGAACATGAAAGGCTTTCAAAAATAGAAAAACAGATTCTACATAAGCACTTCACTTTCTAGATCATAATCATTCTTTTTATTATTGACGAATTTCAAATTCTCCACATTCAAAATAAAGGCCTTAATCTATCTTTGTTAGAATCTATGGAAATTAACAAATTAAAAAACGGACATAATTGTGACATTAAAGAGTATATAGTGTAAACACATGCCAAAAATAGATCACTTGAGAAAGGCACTCTGTCGAAATAGCTGTAGTGATAAGATTTTATAATAAATTTTGTGGAAGTTTTGAAAACAAAGTTTTCATTGTTTTATTGTTACATAAAATGAATTTCCATTAAGTAACGGTCTAATTCATCAATTATACATTTTATATATACCTCCCACGCAATACCAAATGAATTATATTATGGGCTACAATTTTTTTTATACTGTAAACTCCTTAGTAATATACCTTTGATTTTTAGTTAAATTCCCTTTTTTTCTGAATCCTCCCACGATATATGCCGTTGGTACAAGAGGATTTAATATAATACAACAAAATTTAAGTATGGAAGGAAATGCTGAATATTACTATTTTGAGTGTTCGGAAGCTAGCCAGGTAATTTTGACTGTAAATAAATAAAATTATTTATCGTATTAAAAAAGTACAGCAAAAATTTAAAACAGAATTTTTTGTATTACATCTTTACATAATTTACATACTTAATTATTTTTATTTATAATTATACAATTAGTTTGTTTGGAATCTATTTGTAACGCTTTTGAGTTAAGGAAAGTAAAATTTTTTAAATTTGAGACAACAAAAAGGATAAAAAAAGTGGTACAGTACGCAATACTGTAGACTATAGTAGGACAATTTTCAATTAAAACTGACTAATCTACAAATTGAACTAAGAGCTAACGGCAACCATGTTAAATTCAGAAGTAAATTCTTACCGGGATCATTATTTTGTGTATGCTTCGCCCATGTAAATAAATGAAAAAGTAAGATAGTGCCATAAAATTTGCCCCCGTAACAATAGAAATTGGTGCGATTCACGAGCGTACAGTTAGTCACGTTCATTGGATAGTGTGAAACATCGGTAAACTTATCAACATTTTGTCTATATATATATATATATATATATATATATATATATATATATATAAATATATATATATATATATTAGTGGATTTTCTTGGGCTTAGGTTCATAAAAAAAATTAATTTGATACTAAGACATTTTTATATATATTTTTTGACGTTTTGGCAGGAAATCCATGCCTTTTTCAAAAAGTAATATTGACTAAAAAAACCATATATGACAGACATAATACGGTTTAAACGTTAAACTTTTGACTTACCGAGCATGTAAAAATTCGGTACTAACAAGTAGACGTCACAATTAAAATAATAGTAAAAACATAGGACATACCCACACCTACCACAATACTTAACATTGAGTTAAGTAGCTGACTGGTTTGTCCAGTCGCTATACAAGAATACGTTCTCACAAATATGACAAAAAAAACTCAACCGCCCTCACAAAACATGAAAACGAAAAACAACATAAATTTGATTTTGAGAAAACCAAGATCCTATAAAGTGAACCCAACAGGAAGAAGAGAGCTTCTAGTGTCTATACAAATAAAAAATAATAAGGCAATAAATGATAAAAAAGATGTCAAAAATTTGAACAAAATATATTTTAACTTAATTTAAAAATACATAAAAAGACTATCTCAGAACGCCTATGATGTTAAAATAACTGATTGTTTAAACGATAAACTAACATCAATAAACAACACATTAGATTTAAAATACATTTTACATGTAGTGACTTAGTGTATGTCCTATGTTTTTAATATTATTTTAATTGTGACGTCTACTTGTTAGTACCGAATTTTTACATGCTTGGCAAGTCAAAAGTTTAACTTTTAAACCGTATTATGTCTGTCATAAAATGTTTTTTTTAATCAATATTACTTCTTTAAAATGCATGGATTTCCTGCCGAAACGTCGAAAAAAATATATAAAAATGTCTTAGTTTCAAATTTTTTTCTGATGAACATAAGCCCAAGAAAATACACTAAAAAATATATATTAAGGTTCAAGAACTAAACTCAAACTATATATATATATATATATATATATATATATATATATATATTATATATATATATATTTATATAATACGTTCTCAAAAAGAATGGGAATGAGAGAAATATGATATTTTAGTTTATTCGTTCCACATTCTATATGTGCATAAACATGGTGTGTTCGGTTTCTTGGAAATATATTTATTAATTAGACTTTACTATAAACTTTAAAATAGTTTTGGGGTAACTAAAGTAAATTTGAGGTAAGTTTTTTTTATAGTATCAACCCATTAACGGCCGATACAATAAACAAAAACAAATTTGACAATTAATTTATTAAATTGGATTAAAAACATATAAATTAAGACTAATTTTTAACCAAAAAGATTTTTCCCCATTTTCATGGAAAAACAGTACAATTTTTAATAAAGGAACATATTGTATCTTAAATGTAAATTAAATATTAAGGTAAAAATTTTCGAAACATTCGAAGTGTAGATGCACTCTACACCTTTTACATAAATAAGTAGTATTACTTTTGCACATCCGACATTCTTGCACTATCGTCTTTTTTGTAATATGGCCAATAGTATCGAATCTGGTTTCATCTGGTAAAGTAAATTTATATTGATGCCCATGTACTTAGTTTGACACTCATGTAGCGGTTTTTTCACTATTCTCTTCTCTTCATCTTTATTTTAAAAAGTGAAACTGGAACAAACCATGAAGTGGAGATATCCAGGAGTGGCTAGTATACCTGTTGAATACAAAGCACGTGGTGTTCGTGTGTATTAAGGTATAAAAAAAGCGCTTATTAAAAGCTTAAAATTTTTATTTTAAAGAAGATCTTTTCGGAATTGTATCATTCCATCATCAGTTTAATAAAAAGTTGTTGAAAAAAAAACATTGTATGGCCACATAAAAAACATTGAATGGACATCCGGATTTAAAAAGTAATCTTCATGGTATTTATTAAGGTAAATGCAATAGACGCTTAAATTGTGTATTAATAAAAAATGAAAATGGGGGCATCTTATATGACCCCCTGTAGCTGGTGAAGTTTTATCGACTTACAGTTAGCCCTAGACTCCAACACAGATCAGAGGTAATGTAAGTCGATAAAACCTCACCAGCTACAAGGGGTCATATAAGATGCCCCCATTTTCATTTTTATTAATACGCAATTTAAGAGTCTATTGCATTTACCTTAATAAATACCATGAAGATTACTTTTTAAATCCGGATGTCCATCCAATGTTTTTTATGTGGCCATACAATGTTTTTTTTTCAACAACTTTTTATTAAACTGATGATGGAATCATACAATTCCGAAAAGATCTTTTTTAAAATAAAAATTTTAAGCTTTTAATAAGCGCTTTTTTATACCTTAATACACACGAACACCACGTGCTTTGTCTTCATCTTTAATTAAATGAAATCTAAGTCGGCTCATGTTTTCTCTTATAACTTGCAATACATTTTTTTAAATTTAGGTCATTCTTTTCAAAATTGTGACGGTTATTCTGCGATGAAAAAAGAGTGAACAAACTTCAATATATGACTTGCCTCCATGGTTGACTTTTATATTGTCTATGTAAATATCAATCAGAATGATGTTGAATTACTAGTACGAATAAGTATCTGTTGTTACCGAACTTGAGACAAATTTGGATTTAATATTTTTTTCTGGTTTTTTCTTTGGACGTTTTGTTTGTGGTTCAGAGGAATATCCGAATATCATAATCAGAATCGTCAGAATTCTTAATCACTTGTATTTTATATCTACCTGCAATATCCGATATTATTCCTTCTTCACAAATAATATTATCATCAATGTCTTCTACACATCGGAAACTTCATCTGATTCCGGCGACAAATAAACCACATTAAGTGAGACAGCATTTTCACAATCTGACTCTTCTTCTAACAAAGCTATTAACTCTTTAGTAGTTAGTGCCATCTTCATTTTACATTTCGAGAATTTACTGAAATAAATAAAAAAATGCACTACTATATACACGCATTCACATGATAACAGGTTAGCTTACTTTATTTTAATTTATATGAAATACAAAACAAATAAATACAAGAAAACTTTCAAATCAAGTTAAAAAAAAACAAATATAACGTTTACAGCACACAGCAATTCTATAAATAGAGAATGAAGTGAATGACGAGATCGTATGTTAAAATTTCAGATTGTTTAGATTCTGTTTTTTGAAGTTCTGTTTTAGGTACTCTCTAATAAGAATAAAATTTCACTTTAATTTGTTAGACAACTATAAGATATCTATCAAAAGACACATGATAATTTAATATCTATATCGGTCTTACATTGAATTTTTACATAACTACTTATGTATTTAAATAAATAATTAAAATTTTATTTTGATACGCCTCTGCACAATTTATAAGTGGAATATGATTTCGTTGCTGTAAGTGCGATGTTGCCAATTAATCACCTTTAATTGAAAATCATTTTAGTATAGTAAAAATATAACTAAAACTACGTTGGATCCAGCTTTCATTTACAATACACTTAAACTGAACCTACTTATTAGTTTTAGTTCTCTAATAAATTTTGTTAGTTATATAAATTATTTAAAAATCATTTAAAAATAAAAAAATGACTTGTTATTTGAGGAAGGTGGAAAAATCATATGTATAACATAAAAGTAAAGTGCCTTTTCCTCCCATGAATGATTACTCTCGGGAGGAAAAGTAGCACTTTGCTCCGTTGTTATACAAATAGCTATTTTTTTAAATTTAATTATGCATTTGCTTTTAATTACGTACTGCACTGTTAGAATTTTTATGTTATGTTTAGTATACCTAATATTTTTACCTGAATCAATAATCTCTCTAATTGAGAAACATTAATTGAATATGCAATGCAATATGAATTAATACTTACGGTATACTTAATGCAACGTCAACGTTTGTAGATTGACTGGAAAAGATGCAGTGTAGATATTTCTGTTAATATTTCCCAAGACGTACTAGTCTTTAATGGTGATGGTATTTCTATAGCTCCTGATACAGAATATAACGTGAGAGCCGTCCTTAAAAACAGAGGGAGATCTTTAGATGAAGACTCTATGCAGTATGCAAGTGTTTTAACTAGTTGTGATCGTAAGTATAAATCATATCTTCTTCTTGTGGTGCCTATCCGTTACGGATGTTGGCAACTAGCATGGCAATTCTAACTTTATTAACCGCAGCTCGAAATAGTCCTGAAGTGGTCAAGGAAAACCATTTTCGTAAATTCTGGAGCCATGATATTCTTCTTCTTCTTCCTGGTCCCCTCTTTTCGTAGACCTTTCCCTGTAATATAAGCTGCAGCAGGTTATATCTATGGCCGTTTTGCATTATATGTGCAAGATATTCTAGCTTGCGCTGTTTCACTGTGGATATAATTTCACCTGTCTTATCCATCCGACGTAGAACCTCAATGTTTGTTAATCGGTCCACCCAGGAGATCCTCTATTCAGTATCCGTCTATAACACCACATCTCAAACGCCTCGAGTTTTCCCATAGATGCCTCGGTTAGTGTCCATGATTCAACCCCATAGAGCAGCACTGTAAACACGTAGCATCTCAATAAACGGATTTTTGTTTTTAAAGGTAGGTCGTGGCTCTTAAATATCTTGCTCATTCTGACAAACGCTGACCTGGCTTTTTCAATTCTCTGTTTTATCTCAACTGAGTGGTCCCATTGGTCGTTTATGATGGTTCCTAGATAGTAGTAACGGGGCACTTAAAGTATTTGTTACTGATCTACCAGTAATTGACTGGGTGGAATATGCTTCTTACTGATGACCATGTACTTTGTTTTCTTGATGTTAAAATTAAGCCCGTACTCCTGACTGATTCTCCACAACTGCTTTACTAGTGTCTGTAAACCTTCTAGACTGTCTGCAAAGAGGATGGTGTCGTCTGCATATCTGATGTTATTCAGGCGTTCACCATTTAGGAGAATACCCTCTGCGATAAGCTCTAAGGCCTAGCGTGTTCCGAATAGACGTTAAATAATAGGGGAGAGAGTATGCAGCCCTGTCGCACTCCTCTTTTTATTGCAACTTCCTCTGTTAGTTGGTCTTTCACCCGAATAGTTGCTGATTGGTTGTAGAATATGTTCTTGATTATTCGAAGGTCTTTGTTGTCCAGATCAGTTGCCTTTAGTATATCCATGAGCTTATCGTGCTTGATTCTGTCGAAAGCTTTCTGGTAGTCGATAAAGCATACATAAATATCGCAGTTGACGTCTCTGTACCTTTGAAATAATACCTGAACTGCGAACAAGGCTTCTATTGTACCTTTTTGTTTATTATTTGTATTATTTGTTCCTTATCTGGAGCGGAACTCAGCCTGTTCACAAGGTTGGTAACTATCCAGTTTGTTCACAAGCCGTTTTGTTATTATCTTCATGAAAAGTTTGTATGTATGGGAGAGCAAAATAATAGGTATGTAATTCTTAAGGTCTGAAATGTCACCATTTTTGTGCATTATGGTTATTATTGCATTATGCCACTGGGAGGGGGTTACGCCTCTAGTTAAACAAGCATTAAACATTTTTTTCAACACATTTACTAACGTTCCTCCTTCTTCTTTAATAGACTAGCTATTATTGACACTAAAACGTTCAATTTGCTTTACTAGAACTTCGTCAAGATCTGCAGCTTTTCTTATTTTACCTTTGCCTATTGCCTTGTTTAACTTTTGTATGCTACTCTTGTTTGCTCTTATTATATTAACAACCAAAGATCATGCACCGACGCTTTATTTATGATAAAATAAGTGCAAGAGAAGTCATTAAAATACAATAAGCTGGCATATCTATGTTTTGTCAATATGAAGAAGACATAGGACCAACTCAAATTAAAGGAAGGTATCCACTTATTGTACGCAAAAGAGATACATTTGGGAATAATCAAAATAATAAAAAATATCTACCAAAAGAACACAGTAAACGTAAGAGTAGAGAAAGAACTAAATGACCTCAATGAAGCTGGCGATTGGATCAGAAAAGGAGAGTTCCTCAGTCCTCTATTATTTAACCTGATTATGTATGTAATAAAAAAAAAGAAAATACTAAAAAAGGATAGGTACCAAATGAAAATAAAAACAATTTAAAATAATCTGCTATGCAGACGACGCAATACTACTTTCTCAAAATGATTTAAAACGCATGCTGCACCAATTCAATATAACCAAAATTACATGGTTAAAACAAAGCAAATTTACCAAGATGTAAATTGGAGCTGAAAGGTGAGATAATAGAAGTGATGGAGTTTAAATATCTAGGCGCCACATTATCTACCCACTACCTACGGAAAGCCTGAAACAGCAGTGGAAGATAAGTGCCTAGAGCAAACATAGCCACAGGTTGTCTGAATAAAGCAATATAAAAAAATAAAAATATCGGAAAAGAAATGAAAGGCAGAATTTACAAATTAGTCATCAGACCAATAATGCCATATGCGACAGAAACACGACCTGGCACATACAGGGCAAAAATAATGTTAGATATAGCTGAGATGAAAACACTTCAAACAATTGATGGTAACACACTATGGGTAAGAAACAGAAGCGTAGAATGGAACTATCATATAAGCCGAATGACAACAAATAGAATGGTAAAGACGGCAAGAGACAGTTCCCCAATAGGAAGATGTTTACATAGTCAGACAGAGTTTACATAGACAGAGTCATGTTTACATAAAAAGAAAACGAAGAAAAACTCTTGTATGCTAAAGGCAATGCCATTTGTTTCTCCTTCCTCTTTTCTAATTATTTTGGAAATATTCTGTTGTCAGTCTGTTTTCTAGAGGCTCGTTAGTATTGAATTTAGCTTAAAAACGCATCTTCTTCTACAGCCTGTGTTCGTCCACTGCTGGACATAGGCCTCTTCCATTTGCTTCCATCGATTTCTACTTTTGGCAATTCTCGTCCACTGCTTGCCCGCGACTTGTTTGATATCGTCTGTCCACCTCTTCTGCGGTCTGCCTACTCCTCGCCTGTTCTCTCTTGTCTTCCAGTTTGTTAATCTTTGTGTCCATTTTTCGGGATTATCTCGGGCAACGTGTCCGACCCATTGCCACTTGAGCCTTGCAATACAATATATAAACGCATGACCTGGAGAGTATGTAGGATAGCGATTTAAACCTCTCAGAAGTTTCTAAGCTTGATATTAAATTCTGCCAATCTTCTTTTTCTTTTGGTGCCTATCATCTATGGATGTTGGCAATTACGTTGGTCCATATAACTTTGTTGAGAGCTGCTCTAAATAGATGGATGGTAGGTCATTTCTGCCCACTGTCTGATGTTCTTCAACCACGATATCCTTCTGCGCCCTTGATATCTTTTGCCTTCTATCTTGCCTTGTAAAATTAGTTGAAGTAGTTGATAGTTCCCATTGCGCATCACATGCCCTAAGTATGTCATCTTTCTGATTTTCACGATACGCATAATTTCTAGATCTTTATTCATACGTTGGATCACAGTGTTGTTTGTAACATGATGGATATGGGAAATTCTGAGCATGCACCAGTAGCACCACATTTCGAATGCTTCTAATCGTTTGGATGTTGCCTTCGTTCAGGTCCAGGTGTAGTGTCATAGATTTTGTTCAGTAGACTCGTTAGGACTTTGAGTTGGTTGTTTTCAACTAGTTTCAATATTTCAGCTTGTATGTTATCAGGTCCAGGTGCTTTGTTAGTTTTTAGTCTTTTTATTGTGAATGCTACTTCACCAAGCGTTATTTCTGGCCCTGAACATCCAGAAACTCTGACTTCTATCTCTTGTTCTTCCTTGAATAATTATTTCATGTATTGCCTCCATCTCTCAAGTATTCTCTTATTTTCGTAGAACAGATTGTTGTGCTCATCTAGTATTAATTTATGACTTCATGATCAGTTTCCTCCCGTTAAGTTTTTGATCTTTTTGTGTAGGTTAAAAGTGTCATGCTTCTGTTCTAGGGATTCTATGTCTATGCATTGATCTTGTTGCCATTATTCTTTTGCTTCTTTAATCTTTTTCTTAATAATTTTGTTTATTTATTTGTACCTTTCCTCATTTTTATTTCTGTGTTTTCTTCGTTCTTCTATTAGCTCTAATATTTCTTGTCTCATCCACGGCTGTTTCTTTATATTGTTTTCTCGTTTAAGTTTATTATCTACCACTGAATTACAGATATTTTTGATTTTATTCCACATATCATCCACACTTATGTTTTCTTGATTAATATCTGAGGTTACCATGCTGTTTATTTTGTTGTTGATTTCCTCTTTGACTTCGTCTCTTGTGGTTTTATTTTTCAACTTCTGGATGTCAGGACGTTTTTGTGCTTTTCTTTTATGGCCTTTTTTTATGTGGAGTTTGAAACGTCCTAGTAAAAGATTATGGTCTCATGAAACATCTGCTCCCGGATATGTTTTTGCGGATTTTACGGAATTCTGAAAACGTTTGTTGATGATGATGTAGCCAATCTACTTTCTAATCATTTTTTTGGACAGTCAGCTGCCTACTTTGGTGTTGAAATCTACTAGCAGGATATTCACTTCACAATTTACAATTGTTCATAGAATATTTCTATTTCCTGCTCTAAGCTTTCCGAATTTGGAACATATGCTTGAATAATGTTCACGTTAACTGTTTTAGCATTAATTTTGAGTACTGCAACTCTATCTGATATTCCTATAAAACTAAGTACACATTTGTTACCTTCTTTATTTACTATTATAGCCACTCCGTTTTTGTTTCTTGTTGTAGTATCTCCATAGTAGTATATTGTGTGGTTTTCTATTTCGCACTTGCCTAAATTGGGCCATCTACCTTCACTGCATCCAAGAATGTCAATGTTGAGTCTTCGCATTTCTTTAATTACGTTAATCACTTTTTTGGTATGGAATAAACTTCGTACATTCCATGCACCAATCTTCTTATCATGCTTAAATCTAAATTTTTGTGGCAACCTGGGATTTCTTAGCACCCTCTCCCCACTTAGGGGTGTCTTAGACTAAGGGCCGTTTCTATATTAACTTGATCCATTGTGATTATACCAGGGAAAGTTAATTGGGGTGGTTTCCCGTTGCCTTCCCCAATGATTTTTTTCCGTGTGAGTTTTACTCCTTGGGATTTATTTGTTTTGGTAGGAATCTTGGGGTGGAGACATGACTTTCTTGGCACGGGGTGGGAGATAGCCATGGCTCGTGTGGGCAGGGTTGCATACCTGAAGTAGATCTATCTTATACCGTGATCGAACAAGAGTATCTACTAGTTAGCCTAGCTAATTGTCTTTAGCCAACATTGTCTTTTAGCAGTTGATATTGAATTAAGTAGTTTATGGCCCGTCTAAATCATGTTCTTTAAGAGGGGATTAACATTGAATAAAGTTAGGTATTTTCTCAACTTTTGATATGACTCTCGTGTAAGTCCCTTGATATATTTGCACCTATATCCTCCAGGAATAGATTCTCATAAACTCCGTTTTACAGTCAGATCAATAATCTGATGATAATTTTTAAACTTTTTAAATTTTTATATCATTAAAATATTTTACATCTAATTTAAAGTTTTTTGATTTTCTGCAGTTTTTAGCCTCCTAACTTTGGTTTTTATTTTATTTTTTAGATATAACTCAAGACGAAGTTAATATTACTACTACAAGCACCGAAGCATTCATAACACTAAACGTAAGTAGAACCAAATAGAATACATAGGTGATAGTATGTCGTCATCTACCTCTTACTATTAAAATTATGAGATAAATTTTGGTAGGTATTTTCATTAAAATATTCAGAAATAGTGGTTATGCAAAATTAAGTTGCTTCGTATTTTTTAAGGAAATTATAGAATAATTTGTGATTAAAATACGAACAAAAAAAAATATATTTCGTATAATTGAGGCGTTCTTTGCAAAAACCCCATACGTCAGTTTTTTTCGGAAATGGACTTACGCCATCTATGGATTGAAGGACTAATTACCTAGGTTCCTTGCGTAAGAAAATTCCATTAAAACCACAGTAGTCCAAGATATAAGCAACAAAATTATAGGCGATGCCGCATATGTCAAGCGCAATTTCCTGCAAAAACCACAGTTGTTAATGACGGGTGTTTTTGCAGGAAACTTAATCGTGTGGCTGTCAGTAGGTTTTTAGGTTAACAGTAGGTTAACGTTCCTTCAAATAGTTATGTTATGTGATTTCATAAGTAAACACCATAAAACAATTTAGTAAAATGAGTTTTATAATAAATACAAGTAAAAATAAACTCAAACAAGAAAGTTCAAGTGAAAAATAGAAAAGGAAGGTGCTGAGACGTACAGAGATAAAACAGGGAAGATTGAAGGGACAAAAACATGTTAAAGGGCATAGAAAAAGCACAAGTACAAATGGGTCCCAATTGCAGCCACGCTCCACATATTAATTGTAAAATGATGAGCGAAAAATTTATATTCTTTTAGGCGTTCACGGTTTCAATGTTATTCTAAAATTATTGATGAAGAAAAATATCGAATTTTCTATCACTTTTATGCTTTGGAAACTAAAAACGAGTAAGATAGTTATTTGGTAGGTACAATTAATCGCTTTATTTAAACAATTAAAATATTAGCAAGTATATTTCATTGTAACGCAACGCAGACAGCCAGACAGTACAAAAACATCAGAATCAACAGGAATACAGGCAAATCCAACGTACAACAAGGGCAAGAATTAAAAACCCAAAGGAAAGCTGCATGAAAGAACGATGTGAAGAATTGGAATCACTACAAGAAAAGGGAGACAGCTCATACACAGGAAGAACTAGCTAAAATCTGGGCAAACTATGCTTTGTCCCTCTTTGCGGATAATAGACCTAATCTGCCAACTACTAACTTACCCACGAAAAATTTATCCGGCCCTCCCATTATTCGCGCCGAGGTGGAGTACGCTATAAAAGTAGCAAAACTAGGCAAATCCCCTGGACCGGATGGAATTACTAAAGAAGTCATAAAACTGTTGGAAGATGATAACATCGACATCCTGGTAACAATTTTCAATGCCATATATAACACCGGCCATATTCCAACGGATTGGCTTTATTCAACCTTTATAATGATTTCTTAATCGCAAAGAGCGACAAAATGCAAAGACCACACACTGATAAGTTTAAGGAGCCATTTGCTTAAGGTGTTTCTTCGCATCCTTCACACAAGAATGTTCAGAAAGCTGGAAAATCTAAGCGGTGAGACACAATTTGGTTTCAAGAGCAGACTAGGTACACTTGAAGCAGCTTTCTGCTTGAATACGCTTGTACAAAACTGCATGGATCAATGAAAAGATATAGTCATGACATTCCTAGATTATGAAAAAGCATTTGACACCGTAAAACATGACGCAATGATAAAATTGCTACACAACGCTAGCATTGACGAGAAAGATGTAAGAGTTATCCAGAATCTCTATTGGAATAAAAAAAACACGAGTTCGACTAAACAAATCAACCAATAGAGAAGAATTTGAAATTTTAAGAGGGGTGTATTTTGTCTCCTATGCTCTTCAATCTCCATGTGGAGAACATTTTTGCAGAAGCACTGGAGGGTTCTGAGTATGGAATAAAGGTAAACGGGTTCCCGATAAATAGCATTCTTTACGCCGACGACACCGCGATAATAACAGAAAACGAACATGATATGCAGTTGATGTTAAATAAAATAAACGCCGTAGGAAAAATATATGGCTTGAAGATAAATGCTGGAAAAACTAAATGCATAGTCATAAGAAAAAACGCACTTTTAAGAATACAACTGCAAGTAGATAGTACTCCAATCGATCAAGTAAACACATTTAAATACTTGGGAATGATAATGAATGGCTAACGGGATCCTCAACAAGAAATAAAATGTCGTACCGAACAAGCAAGACAAGCTTTTATCAAATTTAAACCACTACTATGTAACCGCAATCTTTCCTTCAATCTCCTCTACAGGATGGTTAAATGCTATGTATGGTCCATATTGTTATACGGCATAGAAACATGGACGTTAAGAGTACCTTTCATTAATAAGTTTGAGGCCTTCGAAACGTGGACGAAAGGTGAGAAACGAGGAAACAAATGTCGTGGGTATGGAACATAAAAAACTGGACAGGCATAAATACCACTGGCGATCTTTTGCATGCCGCAAAAGATAGACGTCTGGCCTTAAGATAATTCGCCAACGCACTATAGGTGCACGGCACTATAAAAAGAAGAAGATATTTCATTGTAGGGCTAATACCTTATCACATTCCAAAGCAAAGAACAAGTCGAAAAAACGCTGAAATTAGGGATTTTTTACTAACAGAAGTAGAAAAGATGCGCCAAGCCAAGGTAATGTTGCGCAAACTCTCAAAGACCAACATTATGCTACCTATAATTATAAAATTAGGTTGGAAAAAAGAGAAGAACCAGTATGTGTAAACGCTTTTTGCGGTCTTCATGTAATAACATATGAAAGGGTTCGAAGGCTACAAAAACATGTCTTTAATGGTGGATTAGCACCAAAGGATAAACGAGGCAAACATTCAAACAGACCAAATAAAACAGCAGAAAATACATTAGCTTTTATTAAGAGCAATATCAAACCTTTTAAAATCCGACAGTGTCATTATTCAAGAACAAAAAATCTAAATACCTACTACCTTCCTGATACGCTATCTGTGAAAAAGATGTATAAATTATTCATAGCAGAACATCCCGGTGTCTTCTTATAAAATATTTGGAAAATATTCCTTACCGAATTTAACCTTAAATTTGGCTTACGGAGAAGTGATACATGTGGTACTTGCGATCGGTATTAAAGTAAACTGTTAGATAGTTGTGGCGATCTAGAAGACGTGTGAAAATTAAACATTGAGAAAGAACTCCACTTGCGGAAAGCTGAAAAGGACTAAAAAGAAATTGTTAATTAAAAGCACGTGTTGATTTAGAGAACTACAGTTGCTTGTCTTTTGACTATATTCAAAATCTTCCAATGCCACATATACGTACCAATGCAGTATTCTATGCTAAGCAGCTATGGTTATACGTATTTGGTGTGCATAATGATGGAAGTAATACTGTAACTATGTTGTCTTATGATGAAACCATTAAAAGAAAAGGACAAAATGAAGTAGCTTCATTATTGTTGCAATATTTACGATCTAATGATGTGACGACAAAGAGTCTTATCCTAATAAGCGACGAATGTGCCGGACAAAATAAAAACTATGTTCTTGGAAATTTTTGTACTTGCTTGTCCATGATATACATGTTTAAAACTATCACACATGTAGGTATTTCCTATTCGATGCCATTCATTTTTAAGTTGCGACCACACTTAAAGGAATTACAAGGAGAATTTTACTGTCATCATGGCATGTGTTTGTCTTTTTAAAGACGAATTACATGCTATAGATTTTTTTCTGACGGACATTCTCAAGTTAAAGTTGATTTCATATAATCGAATGAACTATCTTATAAGTAAAGTCGTTTCAGGAACCCAACTCAACAATATTGGCAATATCATTTTAAAGTCGTCTACTTTGAAATATAGAATGTATGTCCGAATTGTCAATATAAATGATTCGGATAAAATTAAATTATTAGAAGAATTTTTCACTAAGTAACAAAAAAAAAAACAAAATTTGTTTAATTTACTAAAATATTCATTATTAAAATAAACTGTACTGGAAAAGATCAATGTTAAAATATATCATATCCTTTGACAGATATAAAATCTGACACTTTGATCTGTCAAAGGATTTGGTAACCTTACAATCACTTTTTTATATGTTACAAATGCTGGATGCTCTTCACTAACTATAAACCGGTTGGAAGCAACTTGCTTTTTCAAAAATTTCACGTTGTAATTCTGTAAAATTTCGCGTTGCATCTACAATAACTTCTTCAATTTTGGCGGCATAATTAAAGTTGAACCGATTTTTTTTAAACACATTACAAATCACGAAACTATCCATTCTAGGTCTAGTAAGGTCCTCACCCTAAGCTTCATCATGTGTCCAATTTAAATTTGAAGATGAGTCTTTATAAATCACTTTCTTCTTCATAAACACTCTCTCATCACTTTCTTCTTTACTATCTCTATTTTTTTTAGTAATTTGTGGTGTCTGTTTTTTCAATTTATTTTCTGCAAATTGCATTGCGTTTCAGAGTATCGGTTGCTCTTAAGATTGTTCTTTTTAGTTTACTTTTTCTAGTTAATTTTCTTTCTGGATCTTTCGGGTATGGTTTTATTCAGGATGTAGATAAATAATATTTCTTGGACACCTCCACATTTTGATTTGAAAATTTCACTTGATGAAGAAAGAGTCTTTTAACGTTAAAGGAAACCTTTTGTCTGTTACAAACGAGCATAGAAAATCTTCTTCACCAAAAATATTTTTATCCAACGGCCAAATTCCAGTGCAACGAAACCAAGATTTTATGTCGGAAGGAGTTGCAGATCGATCCCAAGCTTTCATACATATTGGTGTAAGGTCATAAATCGATAATGCCTTCCCCGGATGGAAGAGCATCCAGTCATCTGCTTCTTGATTGAAACACCTTTTAAATGTTTCAAAAACAGTTCTATCTAATGGTTGCAATTTGTTAGATGTGTGGAATGGAAGAGTTAGAATTGTAATTCCATTATCTTTGCAGTAATCAATAGCAGAAATAGAGGAATGGGATTCATGATTGTCCATTAATAAAATAACTTGGCGTTCTTTAGAACACCGAACATGATTTACAAAATGCTCTAAAACTTTTAAACAATTATCACTGGTCATCCATCCAGATAAATGCACTAAACCGGTTGCACCATACTCTTCTGGAATACCATTTAGCATTCTGTTTATCAAAATTTTTCCTTAGAAACACCCACACTGGTGGAAGTGCTGTTCGATTCGCTTTAATAATACACACTTAAGTAATCAGTTCTCCTCTCTCATGCGACACTACTTTACCAACTTGATGCTGACCTTCAACTGACCAAAAGTATCAACTCCTTTTTGAATTTTTAAACTGTGGTTACGCCCGTCTCGTCCAAATTAAATATGGCTTATACAGTGAAGCTGTGCCTTTTTAGAATCTCCTCAAACTTACCCTGAAATTTACCGACTATAGGTTTATTGAAACTGAAAATTCTCGCTAAGCTTGTATTTTCTGGAGTTTGTAAGGATAGTTCAGATTATTAACTTAAAAATCCTGTAAACCAGTCCTTTCTAGCTAATTTGTCTACTTTTCAAGGCTCTGGAAATTCGAATTCATTTTTTTCGGCAAATTAGAATGCTAATATGCGAATTTAGACAGCAACTTATCAAAGCAAGCTACACATCTCATTGGTACTTTACAAAACAATCGTATATAACCCTAAAAACGTCATCAAAAAGACTCTCGCGAAAGGTATTTGAGATAACCTAATATGGTAGAAATATGTCAGCGACAGAAACCACTAGCGGTAGTAGATTATAATGCTGCTAAAACCTTTATAGACGTTTTGAACCTTTCCAGTGCATTTAGAGATCCATAGTGACCAAGGAAGTAACTTCGAAAGCGATCTGTTCCAAGGAATATATGATAGACTAGGCATGAAGAAAACAAGAACTATTATCCGCAATCGGATGGTATGGTAGAACGGATGAAAAGGAAAGTTGGCAAATATTTGACATTGATGGTGTCCTATCATCAACAATACTGGGACCAATATCTTCCATTCTTCACAATGGTTTACATATCTGCTGTTAACGAATCAACAGGCCAGACACCAGCCATACTATTTGGACGCGAGATGCGACTACCTTGTGATCTAGAGTTTGGGTGTCGATCTAGAGAAAATGTAGCAGGTGAAGATTATGTGATCGAAGAATGGACGATGTACACGAGTTGGTCCCATTTTCAGATCGCTAGCGACCGAATGAAGAAACGGTACGATAAGCAGGCAAGCCAAAGAGGGGTTCTTTAAGAAGAATAACAGAGTCTGACTCTATAATCCCAAGAAGCGAAAAGGTTGTTCTCCCAAGTTGCAGCAGTTTTGGGAAGGTCCATACCTCATTATGGAGAAGATCAACGATGTCATCTACTGAATAAGCAAGATTCCGAGGGGAAAACTGATGATAGTACACTATGACTGGCTGGCGTCTTTCGAAGGTAACCACGACGTAGATGAAGAAGTGGAACTAAACCAAGTCCAAGATGTGTCTGACCTCACGTTTGAGGAATTCATGGGAGCATATGGAGGTACCGGTAAAGCAAGACATGGTGTTACGACCGAAGAAAAGCAAGACCTACTTGCGCTTTCCGATGACTACTCACTGGCCCTTCCCATCCCGGCCAGAACTTCAATGCCAAGTGCCAGTTCCCAGGAAAGCCTTGAAACTCCAAGATGCCTCACGTTACCTTTTCTACCTGGTGACAAAAGACACTGCCCGTGACCAACCTACCTACCGAGATGTATGAAAAGCCTTACTTTAATTGAGAGAACACGTACTAAAGTCCGACGTGCAAAAGTTAGTCGTACCAAAGTTGGAGTGCCGCCAATTGGATTGGAGGGTTATCCGAAGTTGGTGGACGAGATCTTTAAAGACACCGAAGTCCAGGTGTTAGTCTGCTGAAATCCGCGTAGTTACCGGTGCGGAGAGAAAACCGTCCTTAGTCATTTGTATACAACTGAAAGTTGTAAAAGAGGATCCAGTTGCCGATACCAGCATACCAGTTTCCAGTTCCGACAAAACCATCTTTTAAGAGGGGAGAAATGTTACAATAAATACATATTCTTCTAACAAGTATTTTTTAGCAGGGTCCCCTCCGATAAAACCTGTCTGGGTTCCATGCCGTTCGACAACGTTCAGCAAGGGTCATCGGCCGAATTCTAGGAACTCCAGAATAACGGTTATTGAATATATATATATATAATATATATATTATATATATATATATATATATATATAGAGGAAATTTTGACTGTAAATAGTTAGTCTGAAAAGAATAATTGTATCGAGTCGAGTTTAGATTGTAACGCGGAAATAAATGTTGTAAATAAAGTATAAAAATTAGAATAGTATCAGTTAGTGTAAGATTATATATAAATTAAATAGACTCTAATAAACTAAGTGTTAAAACATTTTATAATAAATAAAGTTATTAAATTAGATTTATAAAAATAGTTCAATATGTATATGTTTAATCAGCTAAAATATGAAATTTAAACATTTTGATGAAATGATGATACGTTATATCAGAATTATGTGTTTTTTCTCTGAACATTTAACTTAACATTTAATTTAGATTAATTTTTTATTTCCAGTTTCCTGCAGATCGTTGCCAACTTACAAAATATCAAATATCTCTGGATAAGGAGAATACCAAGATGTAACATTTAAAGTTTCTATCCCTAAATTAAAGCCTTATACTTCGCATACATTCAATGTAATATACATTTCAAAAGACAACCGAATTGAAATGATTATAAAAAAAGATTTTTGGACTAAACGAGCAGGTAAGTAAATTTAAAATATATTTATTAAACTACTTGCATAATGTAAACATTTAACTTTCATAAACCCGAGCTGAGTGCAGGTGAAACCAAGTCATCAATTCTTGTAAATAAATGCCAAAATTATTCGTTATTATTTATTTATTAGTTACGCATTACTAAATCTGTCAAATATAACCCATAAGTCAGCAAATAATTTTAAATCATCCTTAATCCATCGGAAGTAACGACATAGTGAAGCCACAGCTTCCTTATCTTCATTCCTACGCAGTAAAACAAAAAAGAAAATATGGCTCTTATTGTTTTCAATGATCTCTATACAACATATGAGACCATCAGAAAGGGAAGATAATATCTATGTTCAGTATAGAACCCGCTGGTTGATTTTTTTCGCTTTGGGTATGTGTATTATAATAAACAAATTACAAATACAGGGCTGTATAAAAGTGTTTAAAACAAGTAAAATTAATAAACAAATAACATACATACAGAAGATTCAAAAGAAGAAAGATACAAAAACCAGTACTTGTTCGTAACGAATGCTTTACATATGAACTTTCGGTATATCTATATATCACACACACACCGCTTGTCTACGGATGAAATTATAAAGATCAAAGCCGCAAGGCAATGGAATAAACATGTATATATATATATATATATATATATATATATATATATATATATATATATATATATATTGAAAAAGTAACATACGTTAACTATAGAAAGGGGACACTTAGGCGATCTTAAAAATCCCCGTACATAATGAGTCTTACTTTATCAATAACATAGATACTGGCGAAAAATAATTCATATCAATATTTTTTATCTGTAATTAATGAATAAATAATAAAGAATCCCTAACATAGAATAGAATTGAAAGCAAAGCATTGCTTTTTTATATCGACATTAAAAAAGTCTTCGGAATAAATCTGTGTCTTCTGTGCCTCATGACGGCTTTGCAGCTCCTAGACAGCAGCAGAGCAGACTTTGGGAATCACTGATATTAAATCGGAGTCAAATTCCGGTTAATTCCACTTTTTATTTTATTAATGTAATATTTTGGCACTTGTAAAATGTAAGCAACTATTTAGATATTTGGTCATGTTTAATTAAACAATTTTTAGAACCATCGGAAATTACAAGATTTAATTCCAGCTCTACATCCACAACAATTTCCTTGTCATGGGAAAAACCGTATAAAGAAAATGGTATAATATCTGGCTATTTAATCAGATATAAAGTAAGTATTACAGGTAAAGATATATTATATATATATATTATATATATATATATATATATATATATATATCTTAGATATTATGTATATTAATCAGACCTCAGACGAGTGGTGGGTTTAAGTGGTGGGGTGTAATAGACCACATGTTCTTTTGCTGTGCTAAGTTTTAACAAATTGCTAATTGTTGTTAGTTCAATTTATTGTTTATACAATATAATCGTGTAATGTCCATTTACTTGAGCTTCTTTACATTTTTAATATCACTGACTGCTACAAATCTTTTTAAGGTAATACATGTAACAACTTTTCCATGCTTGTGTGGTTTTTTTAGATGACCTAATGATGCTTTCTGATTAAGAAAGCGAAACGTCTTCAATAAATAGATGAAGTAGCCATCAACTTTGTCTTTTTTCCCCACCTTTTGACCGATAAAAAAACCCACCACTCATCTGAATGATCCTTAATTTATATTGGATTGACGGTCGTACTCCTTTTCTCGATGCTTTATATATATATATATATATATATATATATATAATATATATATATATATATATATATATATATATATATATATATATATAAACAACAAAGTTTATTAGGGCTGCATTCACAAGTTTGGCCGGGATGTTACAGAAAAACTCTTTTGACTTTTGGTCTAGCTTTCGGAATTGTTTAATTTTTTTTTCAAGACACTGTAATTAGAAAAATTTTCTTTGTAGGCTTCAAAATGGTCTTTACATTGGCTTTTTTAAGTATTCGCCCAATTCTGTTCGTTACCTCCGATAAATAGCGCAAGAACACTTCGCCTATACATTCTATTTCTTCGTCCTTTCTTCTAGAGATATTGGTTATCGCTTTATGTATTTCTCTTCTGGTATAACCATTAAGGTGACCGCTTTTTCAATATGAAGAAATTCACTTTGCAGATGCTGTGGTTCACAAATTATCTTCGCCTTCTTCGCCAGAGTTTTGATAATACCTTGTTTTTAGCCTGGATGATGATTTGAGTTTCTGTTTGGGTATCTGTCCATGTGTGTATTTTTTAAATACACTTTGTGTCCTAAGTAACCTTCCTTTGTCCTGTTTAATACATCTAGGAACGCTAGTTGTTGATCTTTCTCTGTTTCTGTTTCTGTAGTGTGTTTACATAAGACAGGAAATCGTTAAGTTTTTCTACTTTGTAACCCCAAATCACAAAAGTGTCATCGACGTATCTAAACCATACCCTTGGCTTGTATGCTGTGTCCATTACCCTCTTCTCTAGATGCTCCATTAAAAGGTTGGCTACAACTGGGTTTAGTGGGCTTGCTATTGCTACTCCATCTATCTGTTCATAAATCTGGTCTTCCCATGAAAAGTAATAAAAAAGTAGTTGAAAACAAGTCACAGATTTAAGACAATGAGGTTCCTATTCCCCTATGTCATTTATCAATTATTATGAACTAAATTTTATAATGGAGCTATTAAGATAGCTAAAAATATTTTTTTTATAATTTCGTATCTAGTCGTAAGCAGTAAAATAATATTGGATGTATAAGATGTTCCTCTGAGTAATAAAATTTAATTATCTATGCAAAATGTCTGAGACAATATGCCAATATTATCTTAACCATTTTTGTTTGTATTTATATCTTATTATACCTTATATCTTATACCTTAATACCTTCTACTGATTTTGTGTCAAAGAATTTTTGCCATAATAATAATGGTTTACTATGATTTTAGGTATTAAGAAATCTGGTGTGTACACAAGATGAGAAAAATGAGTTGTCCAATGTTAAAACATCAGAAACGTCAGTTACTTTAAAGTTGTTAAAACCATACACTAGGTACGAAGTACATATTCAAGCCATAAATGAGGAATTCCTAGGGGTGGATTTTTTAGAAATTGTAGAAACTAAGCCTTTAAGTAGTATGTATTTTTTCATATTTTTATCATGAATACTAGTCGATTCAACTCATTACATTCAACACCCTAAATTTAATAGCAAGAAAAGCTTCTCATATTAGTCTAGAATTTAATTTAGCTGTTGCAGTTTGGACCACTGTTAATCTTAAATTCATTTCTAAGCAGCTTTCATCATGTTGGTTATAATGAAACTAAACTATTACCATGTGAATGCTTTTGTAAAGTAGTGCATTTGTTCATTTCAGTAAATTCTCCAAATAGGAAATGAAGATGGCACTAACTACTAAATAGTTAATAGCTTTGTTAGAAGAAGACTCAGATTGTGAAAATGCTGACTTACTTAATGTGGTTTATTTGACGCCGAGATTCGATTAGAAAGTTTCTGATGTAGAAGACATTAATCTTCTTCTTCTTCCTTCTAGTATGTAGGCTTTAAAGCCTCTTCTTCGTCAATATAAGCCTCCTAAATTGTTTAAATTGTCGCACTCACCTTTTTCTTGGTCTGCCAATGCTTCTTCGTCCATTTGGTGACTTATCTCGTGCTATTTGTACTATTCTATCCTCCGCCATTCTACTGATGTGTTTGTTCCACTCCTGTTTTCGTTTTGTCACCCATCCATTTATGTCTTCTATATTGCATGCTATTCTCATATTTTTGCTTTTCTCCCTATCCAACAGACTTTTCCGTGATACTCAGGAGTATTTTCATCTCTGTTGTTTCTAACAGTCGTCTCGTTTTACATGTGTCAGGTCTTGTCTCCGCCATGTATGTTAATGTAGGTCTAATTGCTGCTTTATAGACTCTTGTTTTTGTGTCTTGTCTTAGGTGTTTGTTCTTCCAGATTGTGTCATTAAGAGAACCTGCCGCTTAAATTGCTTTTAAGCTTTGCTGCCGTACTTCTTCTTCAACATCTTTGTAACTATTTATATCTATTCCCAGATATCTAAAACTTGCTTCCGGCTTTATTATTTTCTCCTCAATTTCAATTTTACACCGTAGTGGGTATTTAGTCATACTATTGTTGTCATACATTTGGATTTTTCTGCTGATATTATCATATTGTAACCTCGGAAATCTTTTTTGGGTGGTGCTAGAAAGATAACCAATGGAGACACTGCGGACGGCAGCCAGATGGTTGGTGGAGAGCGAGTCGTGGGTTCGAAACTAGCTTTTGGAAGCGGGAATGGATCCAACGGAAGAAATAGGTAAAGATAGGATAAGAGATATTAGAAAAGATACAGAAATAAACAAAAATATTGATGGGTAAAATTACCAAAGATAAGAGAAGATAGAAACAGGGCGCCACTCAATTTTTTGGGGTTAAGGAGAAAATTAAGAAAACCTTAGAAAAGAAAAGAGATAAGAAAATCTGGTCAACGCAATATATAAACAAATAATAAATATATTAAGTATTACACTTACTTACCTACGAAACTTAATCAGCCTGATCTTTCTACAGTCCAAAAGCATAGTAATATTTAAAGATAGTAATTGTTCAGAGCTATTATTTTATCAGAGAACTTGTTAGGAGCCGACAAATAAAATACATGCATAAAACAATAACAATATATTAAACACAAAATTATGATGCTGCTAAATGCAACCCAGGTAATAAAAATACACAACTATGAAATGGTGTTATATATGTATAAAATTAAGCTATAATGTAATAAAAAAATACCTTTACCAAGATATATAAGGCAATCATATACAAACATAGTTTGGCGTATCTCGAGATATCATAGGAAAGATAATGAACAAAAATTATAGGAAATACAAAAGATAGCAAAAATTAATTAACTCTAAATTTACAAAAAAAAAACAAAATGGTTACAGGAATGAAAACATAAACCAAACCGCACTTGGTTAAGTCAATTAACTATCTCGCACTATTATTTAATAAAAAACTGAGACTTGTATGTTCATAGGTAATATTTATAGAAATTTCTTGAATGGTTCAATTACATTCAAAAATCGGTAATCTACAGGTGAAGATATAGATGATACGTCCAGATAATGGCAGGTGATATGGTACCATACCATATTACTCGCCCAGATAATTGTAGATAAAGATTACTTACAGTAGATCTTGACGAAGGCAGCTTAATTCACTGAATTTAATACTTTTCTGGTACTAAACACTGAATTTAATAACCATTAAAGGTACTGTAGAACTATATATAATTTAATATAGTCTAAGGAAAGAAAACTCAAATATGAAGTGTACACACACTTAGAAAATAATTCACAGCGACGATAAGATAAGAAATATCGTGAGCAAAGCGCATCACGAGATATCACTTCACTCAACAAGAGCCCACCAAGAAGTTGGTTCCCTAAAAATTTCACCAACTATCCAAGAAAAAAGAAGAAGAAGCTATATCCCCCACTTAAAATCATCGGACAGTCGTATGTATTTCTCAGAAGGTAAGGCCTTAACGGCTATTGGAAAATTTGAGGTCAAATAATCGGTATTAACAATTGGACCTGAGAATATTAAAATCCTTAGGATTATATTATTGTCAAAAGATACGGGCCTTCGGAGAAAATTACCAATTTATGAAAAAGAAACTGCATACCGGAAAGCATTTGTTCTTTTCATACAGCGTATTAAGACGGAAGGATTAAAAACCTTTCTTAATTAGGGAATTCCATTTCAGCTTGGTGTCTACAATAATATTTTCCTATCGTAAACACGGGGATTCCTAGTCATCGGCGTATCGCACGGGGGTAAAAGGAATTAAAAATAATTTGATATATTAATAATAAAAAAAATGTTACAATATTGTATTTCTTAGCCGTTGTATTGAAGATATGTGTTAATCTTTAGAGATCGTCTTCTGTCTCGGCGATAAATGCGGCGTCGTCTGCATAACATAATATTTGGATTTCTTTCTTCCATATTCTGTAGCCATGACCTTTACGTACTGCTTGTATTATTTCGTCCATTAGTATATTAAAGAGAAGTGGGCTTAACGAGTCTGACTCCGCTTTGTACTGGTATACACTGTGTTAGTTTTCCATTTATCTTTGCTTGTATTCGATTATGGAGGCAGATGCTTTCGATATTTAGTATAATATTGATTGGTATGTTTTTTTTATACAGTAGGTGTAAGACGTCTTCGACTTGGATGTGATCGAAAGCCTTTGTCAGGTCTATAAAACAGATATGCTGATTTATTGTACTCGATGGGTTTTTCTGTGATTTGTCTTAGTACAAATACGGCGTATACGCAGGATCATCCGGATCTGAATCCTTGTTGTTCATCTGATAAAGTTGATAGTTTATTGATTTTGTTGGTTAGGACTTTTGTGGTAAGCTTAAGTACAGTGTTCAGTTGATTTATACCTCTATAATTGTTGTCTTCTTTATCTCCTTTTTTGAACATTGGTATCATTATGGTGTTTCTCCATGCGTCTGGAATCTTGCAGAGCAATATTAGTTTTTGTATAAGTTTTGTCATCTCTAGGGTTATACTTTCTCCTCCGTATTTTAGAAGCTCGTTGGTTATTCCGTCTGGTCCTAGTGACTTTCTATTTTTGAGTGAATTTATGGCTATTTCTACTTCCTGAAAACTAATTTCTATTTCGTGTCTTAATTCAGGTACGTTATTGTGTTGATTATTATTTTCCTTTGCTTTAAACAGTTCCGTCAGGTATCTTTCCCATTCGTTTGCTGGTATATTATTGTATTCCTTGCAGACATTGATGATAATATTATTTGTGAAGAATCAATACAATCGGATATTGCAGATACATATCAAATACAAGTGATTGGGAATTCTGACGATTCTGATTATGATATTCTTTTGAACCACAGATAAAACGTCCAAAGAAAAAACCAGGCAAAAACAGTAAATCCAAATTTATCTCAAGTTGTAATAAAGGATATTCATTCGTGCTCAGTAGTAATTCAACATCAGTCTGATTGATATTTATACAATATAAAAGCCAGCGATGTAGAAAAGTCACATATTAAAGTTTTTTCACTCTTTTTAATAAAAAAGTATTAATTAAGAGCATTCTATGTTTGACAAATATTTATACATCTCAGAATAACCGTCACAATTTTGAAATGAATAACATAGATTTAAAAAAACTTATTAGTATATGTATATTATCTGGTTTACACTCTGCTTTAAGTTGATATGCATTGGTCAAAGGATGAGCATAAAGAAGTGCATATTATAAGAGAAAGCATGAGCCAACATAGATTTATAATTTTAATTTATAATAGTGAAGAAACCGCTACATCAGTGTCACTTAGTACATGGACGTCAATCTAAATTTGCTTTACCAGATGAAACCAGACTCGAGAATATTTTCTACATTTTTTTTTTGTTTTTTTTTTAGCGACGCTGGTGTTGCAGAGGCGAAGTCTAGAGGATCTCCATAATACTTCCTTCGAGGGCATTCGGCAATCATATGCTGGATGGTCTGTTTCTCGGCGCCGCAGTCGCACTCAGCAGAGGTTCTCATCCTCCATTTATAAAGGGAATCTGCGCAGGCTCCATGACCCGTTCTTATCCTGTTAAGAGTTGACCATGATTTTCGGGGGAGGTCAAAACCTGGTGGAGTTTCTGTGATGCATGGTGTGTTTCTCATTATTAGGTTCGGTCTGTCGCTCTGCATGTTCTTCCACTGGGAGTTCATTTGGAAATTGTTGGAACTCAAGTTTATTGCATCTCTAGTCGGAGGTTTTCTGGAGCGCAATCGATGTGAATTAGCGTCGGCGACATATGTGTGTATAGGTAATTGCGGGTTGTTAAGCAGCTTTTGGAATTCTCTAAGCAGAGCATGCTGACGACGAAGATTAGGAGGAGGTATATGGCTCAGTAGTGAAAGCCACTCCACAGGTGTAAACTTGATCGTTCCAGATATGAGACGCATGGCGACATTGAGCTGGGTATCTATAAACCTCTATAAACCTATAAAATCTTTGACCAATGCATATCTATCTACATTATAAAAAGAGACGATAGTGCAAAAATGTAGGATGTACAAAAGTAATACTATTTATTTATGTAAAAAGTGTATAATGCATCTACACCCCGAATGGTTCGAAAATTTTCACCTTAAAATTTAATTTACGTTTAAGATACAATATGTTCCTATATTAAAAATTTTACTGTTTTCCTTGAAAATGATAAAAAAAAAATCTTTTTGATTGTAAATTAGTCCTAATTTATGTGTTTTAATCCAATCTAATAAATTAATTATCAAATTTCTTTAATAGTATATTTAGCGGCTATTAATGGTTTAATACTATATAAAGAATAAACTGGCCTCAAATTTACTTTACTTACCTCAGAACTATTTTAAAGTTAATAATAAATATTCCCAAGAACACACTACGCCTTATGTATATAATCTGGAAGGAATAAACTAAGATATCATATTACTCTCATTAACATTCTTTCTAAGAACGTTAATATATATAGACCAGCAAGATATTGATAAGTTTACCGATGTTTCAAACTATTCAATGAACTTGTTTCACTTTCACTATACACTCGTGAATCGCACCAATTTATATTGTTACGGGGGTAAATTTATCTTACATGGGTTACAAATTTACATATTTATATGGGAGAAGCATACACAATAAAAATGACCCCGGTAAGAATCTACTAATGACATTTTACATGGTTGCCGCTACCGTTTAGTTCATTTTGTAGATTAGTCACCTTTAATTGAAAATTGTCCGACTTATAGTAACAAATATTTTGCATTTTAGATATCACCGAAACAGAAATGATATCGATTAAACAGCTCATTCCACTAATTCATGGAGCAACTGTTATAATTAATGATGTAATCTGCTCATCATTGTTCGGACCGCTCCTTATAAGATTCGAGTTAACTTGCCTCAGCGATTGGTGTAAAACCGATGCACATAGAAATTTAAGTGCCTGGTATAATCCGAATAATTTTAGCTTCAATGTAAGCAGCTCTAATATTTTACCTTTCACAAATTATACTATGACGGTAGTAATTGTCAGAGATAACACTTGGAAGTACGGTGACTACAAGAACTTTAAGACTCTACCTACAGGTAAATATAAGTTTAATTGGTATGTACATAGTGAATCACTACTAAGGGAGCAGGCTTTGAAAGTTTTTAAAAATTTTGTTTTTAGACTAGTTTGTAGGTGGATAAAAAGCTTATTTTAAAATTGTTTTTAAGTGGACAGGCTGTCACAATATATGTGGTAATATATAAATATAATAAAGTTAGTTTTACTCTTCGAGCAAGTACTACCTAGAGATAGATTTTCAATCATTTTCAATACTATGAGAGCCAGACGTGTGCCAAATGTTATATTTTTCGACCTCTTACCCAGCCGTTAGACTTTTGTACCGGGTGGTCCAATAAGCCGATCTCTTGGCTATATATCAGAAACTGTTCATGTTATACCTTTAGGAGAAAAAATTCCGTAGTAAAAGTGGCCAAGAGAAATCGCTGGAAATAACTTTCAAGATTCTGGATTAACCGCTAGGGGGCGTAACCTGCGAAGAAAATTTTGAAAACCAGTTTTTTGGGAAATATGTCCAATTATAACAAGTGTTAAATAAGTAAACTAGAAAAAGGCATAAATTCTGCACAAAGTTGTTCAAGTACTTTTTTTTTATTTTTTCAAATAAAGGGTGGGGGAGAGTGGGAAAGTATTTGTGGATAAATACCTATAACTTTCGTATGGATTAACTGATTTTAACAAAATTAGTGTCATTAGAAAGAGAATGGATGAATTAATTTACATCTACTATAAAATAATTGCATTTAGTTTTAATTGTCGTAGAGGGTACTTTCGAATAGAAAAAATTAAAATTTGTTTTTTTTCAAAATTTTTAATGGAAACACCTATTTATTGTAAACTATAATGAAACCGGATTAAATTCGTAACAAAGTGGCGCAAACCGCATGTTAATAGCTTTTATCGAACTCGAGATATGAATAAAAACGCATAAACATAAGTCAGTATAGTATTGACACACCCTGTATTATAAATTAAATTAAAAAATAAGTCAGTAGGTACTTTCAAAATTTTTTATAGTAGAAAGCTCTTAATGTTGATACCTATTTTGACCATTGTTATTTCATATGATTAAAAATTGTTTTTTCGAAACTAAGTAGGCTACGACAATGAATTTGACAGGGAGTTCATATTGTTTATTTATTGACAGAAGTCAAAATATTGTTAAGAAGTGTTATATGTATTATAATTCGAATTGAAAATTGCATTTTTTTCAATAGATATTAATATTGGTAATATTAGTAATTAATTATCAGTACTAATAATTCGTGATGAGTATATCAAATTGTATGATATGATTGGAATTTATTTCGAATATCACCAAAATGACGCTATTGCCTCACGTATATATTCTGTAAGATATCCTGGCAGGAGACATTGTGGCAAAGAAGTAGAGATTTCGGACTACTTATATGTGGATTCTGTTCAATTAAAGCAAGAACATTGATTAAATTATTTTTGGTCATAACTCTACTAAGTCGTTTAAAACAAGGACGAGAAAAACTACCAGCTTCTCTTAATCTTTTTGCCTTTCTTTAAAATACTTCTTTGCCATAATGTCTCCTGTCAGGATATCTTACAAAAAATATACGTGAGGCAATAGCGGCATTTTGGTGACATTCGAAATAAACTCCAATCATATCATACAATTTGATATTAATTACTAATATTACCAATATTAATATCTATTGAAAAAAGTGCAATCTTTAATTCGAATTATAATATAGCACTTCTTAACAATGTTTTGACTGCTGTCAATAAATAAACAATATGAACTCCCCGTCAAATTCATTGTCGTAGCCTACTTAGTTTCGAAAAAACTATTTTTTACAAAATAGGTATCAACATTAAGATTCTTCTGCTATAAAAAATTTGAAAATACCTATTGACTTGTTTTTAATGTAATTTATAATACAGGGTGTGTCAATACTATACTTACTTATGTTTATGAGTTTTTATTCATATCTAGAGTTTAACAAAAGCTATTAACATGCGGTTTGCTCCATTTTGTTACGAATTTAATCCAGTTCCATTATAATTTACAATAAATAGGTGTTTCCATTAAAAATTTTGAAGAAAAACAAATTTTATTTTTTTTTATTTGAAAGTCCCCTGTACCTACAACTATTAAAACTAAATGCAAGTATTTTATAGTAGATATGAATTATTTTATCCACACTCTTTCGTATGACACTAATTTCAATAAAATCGGTTGATCCAAACCAAAGTTATAGGTATTTATCCACAAATACTTTACCACTCTCCCCCACCCTTTATTTGAAAAAATAAAAAAAAAGTACTTGAACAACTTTGTGTAGAATTTATGCCTTTTTCTAGTTTACTTATTTAACACTTGGTATAATTGGACATATTTCCCAAAAAACTGGTTTTCAAAATTTTCTTCACAGGTTACGCCCCTAGCGGTTAATCCAGAATCTTGAAAGTTATTTCCACCGATTTGGAAAACGGAAAACAAAACTCCGGGTATATAAAACAATAATCCGACCCATAGTAAGTTATGGGTGTGAAACATGGGTTATAACACAGAAATCTACCAATGCATTAGACGTGTTCGAAAGAAAAATATTGCGTAGAATACTGGGTCCAATAAAGGAAAATAACAACTGGCGAATTAGATATAATAACGAAATATACGAACAATACACTGAACCAACACTAGCACAATACACTAGACTGCAGAGATTACGATGGGCAGGGCATGTGGCCCGCATGCATGAGAACAGAATCCCCAGAAAATTACTAAACGCAAGAATGCAAGGAAAAAGACCTGTTGGAAGACCAAAAAAGAGATGTTAAGACGAGGTAGATGAGGATGCCAAAAATCTCCTAAAAACGCGTTCATGGAAAAGAACAGCAGTAAATAGAGATGTTTGGAGAGGTTTAATGAAGGAGGCCAAGGCCCGGCTTGGGCTGTAGTGCCATTGGATGGATGGATTTCCACCGATTTCTCTTGGCCACTTTTACTAAGGAATTTTTTCTCCTAAAGTTATAATATGAACAGTTTGTGATATATAGCCGAGAGATCGGCTTATTGGACCACCCGGTACATAAAAGTAGAGGGGTTTAAGACCGAGCAATCAGAGAGTGATGTGAGAGAGATGAAATGTAGTTTTATTTGCTCTCTCAACTTGCGCAATAATACAATATACCTAAATTCAGCGTATTCGACGATAATCAGCTGTGATGACAAATTTCCTATAATATTCCTTCACTACAAAATTCTACCTAATGACGTAAATAGGTACAACAAAAAACATCGTTGCTGTTATGCACCATTTATTCGCTTATTAACTCTCCTACTAAATTTAATATCATATCGTTGGTAAAAGATTATATTCCAGGGAAATAAGTATTTCTCAGTAGTTTGCAATAACCTATATGTGACGAGTTTGACCTAACCTAACCTAAACCTATTAGTCCAATGGTCACCCCTAAAAATCATACGGACAAGCTGAATTTTGCAGAAAATATTAATTTTGGGGATCTCCAAAAAGATGCAGAAAAATTTACCACTTTTACCCCGGGCCTTCCTCCTAAAACCTCCCTCGCAGGGGGGTAAAAACGCAAAAAAATCGATTTCCCAAGAATCTGTACAGCGTAGATTAAAATATTTCAAATAAAAAATGGAGCTAAGATAATTTTAAACAAAAACGTTTATAAGCACTTTTTGTGTAGAATAAACTGTTCTCTTAGAAACAACGCTTGAAGCGACCGTCGATTTTGCGTCAGGTCCGCGCGCGAAATCAATGTTCAATAATATTTGTATCAGTTTGACGGTAAAAATTCGATATCTTTTGATTTGAGTGACCTATTGACAAAAATCAAAATGCGTTTTAAAGGTAAAGAGTTCTTTACGATTCTTGTCAAATCAATCAAATTGATCACTTTCATTGACCAGTTGTAGTAAAATTTCCGTTTATAGATCTTAACTTTTAAAACCTATGGCATGAAATTTTAGTTTTAAGTTGTGATAAAAAATATGAGGCATTTGAAATATGAATAAAAACGCAGAATTTAATGTTTTACATTACAAAACATTCACTTCTTCTTCTTCTTCGGTTTCCTTCTCCTAGCGGAGGTTGGAAATCATCATCGCTATTTTAACTTTGTTGGCCGCATTTCTGAATAATTCTAATGAGCTGCAGCCGAACCACTCTCCCAAATTTCTTAGCCAGGACATTTTGCGTCGTCCTGGGTTTCTCTTCCCTTGTATCTTCCCTTGCATAATCAACCTCAGTAATACGTACTTCTCACCCCTCATTAAATGTCCCATATATTGAATCTTTCTAATTTTAACAGTTTTTATGACTTCATATTCTTTCTTCATTCTTTGTAACACCTCTATATTAGTTACTTTTTCAATCCACGATATCCACAATCCACAATCCATATAGTAAAGTAGAGAAGACGTAACAACCTAGCATTCTTGTGCGAATCTCTAGATTAAGGTTACGGTTGCAAAGTAATTTCTTCAATTTTATGAACGTGTTTCTTGCCATTTCTATTCTAGATCTGATCTCCTTTACTTGATCTCCATCTTTGGTTAGCCACGTTCCTAAATATTTATATGTTTTTACTCTTTCTATCGTTGTATTATTGATGATCAGGTTATTTACATTTTGTGGTTTTTTTGAGAATATCATTGATTTCGTTTTCTTGAGATTCATTTGCAGTCCGTAACTTTCACATGCATTGTATACATGTTGTATTATGTACTGTAGATCTTCCATGTCACTTGCAAATATGACAGTATCGTCGGCATATCTAATATTATTAATGCTATTTCCGTTGACATAAATACCTTTCACGGTATCCAATAAAGCCTCTTGAAAAATCACTTCACTGTAGACGTTGAATAAGAGTGGTGAAAGGATACACCCTTGTCGAACTCCTCTAAGTATACTTACTTCCTCTGTCAGTTCTCCTTCGACTCTTACTATTGCTTTCTGGTTTTGATACAGATTCGATATAATTTGTAGATCTCTACTATCAATGTTTT